GCATGCATGTGCAATGAGTGAATGCAGCTTATTTGAATTCAAAAATATTTGGTACAATTTACTAATTAAAGAATGACTAAGGAAGGAATTAATTCATCCAAAGTGACTAAAATATATTTTTAGTGAATGCATGTGCAATTGAGATTTAGGCTCAATAATTTCCCTCCTAAATCCACTTTTCATTATTATTAACTAAAATTTATTAAAAATTAAAATGATATGAAAGAAAAAACATTAATTTCAAAGTGAACAAAATTGAAACTCGTATAATTTTTATAGTTTTTAATAAATTTTTGTCACTCTTCCTCACAATCAACGTGAATCATAAGGTACACCTACTAGACCTCACACACAAACTGTTCTATGTACCCATTAAACTTTAATCATTAAGGTTCTTCAATCCCCTTTTCAAATCAAATTAATATTCTCTTAAAACAGACTCAGAAAGATGAATTCGCATAAACAAGTGAAGACCCAATAGGCCCAAAGTCCTAAAATCCGTCTTTGAATTGTTGACATAAACATCCATAAAAGAAGAAAAAATTATCAATTTAAGCATGAAAGATATTTATTTTAAGTGCCAAAGTTTGAACATTCTCTACAGTGACATTATTATAATAATGGAGATGAACTTGATCATAAAATAAATTTTTTTATTTAAAAATAATAAATATCACAATAAATGGTTAAAATTAAAATGAAATTAGTGCAGTGAATTTTTTAATCCTGCCCTACAAGCTCCCTCGAATCTAAAGGCTGCTTATATGTCAAGCAACTAGAATGCTATTGGCAAACTAAGACATAATAATACTTTTACTTTTCTAAATATCCATTTCATTCCTTCGTAGTAAGTTGAATAGAGGGAAACAAAAAAGGTAAACAAAACCTTACTATTGCTTGTGAATTTATTAAACCAAAGGAAGTAATCGATGGACTTCCATACAGTTTCCCAATCTATATCTTATTATTTTTTGTTAATTTAAAAGAAAAATTTGCTATAATTTTTTTTTATCAATTTAACTTTAAACATTCAAATAAGAGAAAGCATAATTATAACTTGAAATGTTCAAATATTTCTATGGTCCTTTCCATTCTTTTCATTTATTTTCTTTTATTCTTATTTTCTAAACATAAACGTCGAATAAATATACCCCTAACACGTCTTATTAATGATAAATTGTGCTGCATTAACCCTAGTTTGATGGGCTAGCCCATTGATTAATCAAAAAGTTTAAGAATTAGATTTAAAATCAGCCCATAATAAGTTGGGTTAACTCCTGGCCCGATTTTTTTTAAAAGAATTTTATTTATAATTTTAACTTAAACTTATTAGAGTGAGTTAGACTTTAGGTTTAAGTTTACCAAAATCTAAAATCAAGCTAAACATTAGTGGCAATGCTTTTTAAGACTTGAAATTATTTTTAAAAAATTAGGCTAGAAAAGTGACTCATTTGGTCCACAACCTATAAAGGATTGAATTCAACTAGTAAATTTTTAGCTTGTAATTAAATTACTTCAATCTACCCTGACCTAAATTTCTTAGTTCATTATAGATAATTGGATTTCCTATTTTGACAATCTTATGTCACATGTAGAAAAGCAAACTCATCAAGTACAAATCAATGAAAAACCAACTATATTGACAAATATATTCTCTGTGAGGAAGTGACCTTATTTTGCCCTCTCTAGAAGTCTCATTCCCATATCTTTTTTCTTTTTTGGGTCAAATCCCATTCCCATATCTTGAACTTCAAGCTTGTTGATCTTATTAAACCTTCTTGAGCCAAGGACATCTTCACATAATCAATTTCCATAAAGATATGCAAGGACTCTAAGATTAGTTGATTTTGTTGCACCCTCACTCTTTCCCCCCAAATGATAGTAGATCTATGACAATCATAGTGGCATGCAAATCTTGTTCTAATAACTTAGCTTGAATTGAAGTTATCTATTTTAATTTGTTTAAAGTTTTATTAAATTAATTTTAAATCATTAAACCATAATTAAGACAAATGGATAAATTGACTTTAATTGTATATGTCATATCAAAATATATATACATTGTGAAAAGTTATTATCTCATTGGGTGGCTTAAAAATCAAACTTGTAACACATTCATAGCTTTTGCCTACCTCAATAAAGGGTGTCCCATGGAGTGAAGAAGCTACTAGGAATCAGTTTAGAGAACCAATAAAGTTTCATAGAATGTTGCAAATGGTAATAACTAAAGTTTAAGGGATAGCTTTGGTCACTTTGTCGTAAAATTGGAAAAGAATGTCTTTGAATCATCTGTTACTTTGGCATCCGCTAATTGTCTGTACCTCCCAACCGAATTACCTACCACCTTATGATTGAGACTTGTCACTAAAGGAAAGATATGCACAATGAATATTAAAAATTCCTTTAAAATCAGTTATAATTTTAAAATTTTAATAACTGAATTGCGATGATAATACACTTTCAATTAAACTAGGAATAGATATATTTTTTATTTAAATTTTGCTTTTAAAATATTATAGAACATCTTATATTGTACATATGTTCAAAAACCAGATTAAAGAATTCAATATGCACTTGAAAGCAATAAACATCTGAACTCCTTGAACTTTTGATGGTACGTAACTGATGAAGATTTGTAAAACAAAGTGAAATGTGGTCATAACTTTCACAGGTACAAAATGTTAAAGGAAGTGCATGTCAATGCTATAATTCTTGAGTTGGTAGTGCCTTTCATTAATTAGTTGCATGATGATAAACAATAAAAACCATTTCATTAATTAGTTCCTCCTTTTTTTCTTTTTCTTTTTGAAAATTTTCACTTTGCTCTAGCGTTAAATTATTAATAAAAAATATGCATTCTTTTATTAGTTTAATCTATATATGTATAATTTAATCGTAAACATATTATTGTGACATTAATTAAAAACAATATAATTCAGGATGCTGTGTGACCATGAAGCAAAAATATTGGTCTGTGTGTGGATCAGTGTTGCCTGCAGGTTTAATTACATTCACCAGGATTAACTTAAAGGATGAAAATAGATTATATAGCATCATGATAATATAACTGATAATATTATCAGGTAAAACCACTGTAAATTAAAAAAATCTTTAAATATTTAATATAATTATATTATTTACTGAGGCTTAATACTACTTTAGATGATTTTGAATGGACGGGCATATTTTCTTCTTTTACAGTTTTGCAAACTCTATCGCTCTTTCTTTTATTCTTATTCTTTTGTTTGAAGTTTATTGTTAGTACTTTTACAATGTTGACAATTATCACAAAGATTTTATAATGAATTTTTTTTTTTATAAGAAAAACCTAACAATTAGAATTCGGGACTTCCATGTGTGAATTAGACAAACCTCACATGGAATACAACGTGAAGTCTAACAAAAATAGCTAATATACATATATTTGTATCTATCTATCCTTTTCGTAAAAGTGATTAGCAAGCTTTTGATTTTTCATTATTATTACATTTTTATGTGATTGATTTGTGTGATAAATACTAGATTAGACAAAATATTATATTAAAAAAACTAAATGCAATATAATAATTTTAATTACACATAATTTTGATAAGGAAACTTGCATATTTAGTGTCAAGTTTTCAAATCAAACAATAAAAACATTTTTAAAATTTTCAATACATATTCTTACTAAAGGTTGTGAAATCAAACCTAGGAAAGCAAACCCTGTCTACCTTACTATGGTGTTGTCCTCCAATTTTCATATTTTTTATGGAAAGTGGTTGGATGTTTACACTTATTAGAGATAGACAGTACAAAATAGAGAAGTCGTAATTGGTGATATAATATAATAAAAAAAATAGATAAGATAAATGATGTTAAATGCGTGTTGATATTACTAGAAAAAACTTTTTTTATTTATTAGATGAAGAGAAATATATATATATATATATATATATATATATATATATATATATTGTAAGTCTCGTAATTATTGTGAATTACATAAAATGTATGTGTCATTTTCTCTTTTAATGGATCATTTAGTATAAAAAAAAATTAATCAATCTTTTTACCATTAAAATGTTTATATATTATAATTGTATTTTTATATTTATTTTTTATTCTCTCTTCTTCTTTTATGACATTATTAATCATATTTTTTTATCCTTTTCTCTCTCTTCTTTTAACCTGCTTTATACTAAAGAAGTATATATCAAGTTATAATAATCTCTTTCATTGAAGCGATGACACTTTGAAGGCCGTTTTATGAAGTGTTATTTGAATACAGGAAAAAAGAAGAAGAGGAGATATACTAAAAAAATATAATAAATTTTTAAAAAGTGTAAAATTATTATTATTATCATTTACATTGCTATCCCCAATCCTGGTAACTTCAGATACTTCTCCAAATTACTGCTAACTACAAAGGTCAAATTGTGGGGATCCTATAAAAATGTAGATGGACTCTGTTCGAACCCGAAAAAAAAAGGGAAACAGAGCAAAAGAAAACAGAGCAGAATTCCAATTTCCAAATACAGAAATGGTTGCTTGATAGCACAACTTGCAAATGAAGCAAAGCGATTTGATATCAGCCTTCTTGAATGGAATTCTTTTGTCTCATTCACTCTCTCCACTATCTTTGATGCTAACTCCTACCTTTCTTCACCCTCGTTTTTCTTTCCAAATGCTGATTAGTTGTTAATTATTATAATCGTTGTAGTATGAAAGTAAATTTATTCATTAATTAATCACTATCAAACATGGACAACAAAATAATATACTAACATGTGGTTAAAGGGTGATAACATTACATAATATTGAGTAGTGATAGTATTATGTAACATTACTTTTAACCAAGATATAGAGACATTAATTAAGGCCAAAGGGTGATAACATGGTCTCATAAAATTTCACCTTTTATTCCCCACTATGACCCTACTTTCCCTCCATAAATACTCTCCAACCTTTCCTCCATTTGCTCAACATCAAGATTACATTGCATGAATCATTCAAAAGCCATGGCCACGCTCAGCATCATCGCCATTGTTTCCCTCTTCTCTTTACTCGCTCCAACCCTCGCCAAAATCCCCGGCGTCTACTCCGGTGGGCTATGGCAAACCGCTCATGCTACATTCTACGGTGGCAGCGACGCCTCAGGAACTATGGGTACACATACTATGAAGAATTTTAAATCTCATTACCTTTTATTCTTACACAACTTCTTAATTATTCAATATAGTTTATAACAAAACATTAATACTATATACTATAATAAAAATATAATATCATGATAATGTTACACATAACTTATACAATAAATATCAGCATTAAATATTAAGTATACTCATGTTAAAACTTCTAAGTAAGTTTGATCCCCCCATGCATTAAATGCAGGAGGAGCATGTGGGTATGGGAACTTATACAGCCAAGGGTATGGTGTGAACACTGCAGCACTGAGCACTGCTCTGTTCAACAATGGGTTCAGTTGTGGAGCATGTTTCGAGATCAAATGCACCAGTGACCCACAATGGTGCCATCCTGGTAACCCTTCTATCTTTGTCACCGCCACCAACTTCTGCCCCCCAAACTACGCTCTACCCAGCGACAATGGTGGATGGTGCAACCCTCCAAGGCCTCACTTCGACCTCGCCATGCCCATGTTCCTCAAAATCGCCCAGTACCGTGCCGGAATCGTTCCCGTCTCTTATCGCCGGTAAGCTAAAAGGTGTCGTATCATATTAAGGTGTCATGCGTTCAACTTATTTTAAAAAATATAATTAATTTTAGCTTATTTAATGTGATTAATATACGTGTACAAATCTTATGTTGAAGCTTATTATGAGAATTTGATTACGAAAACAAATTAAGCGGGACCTAACTAACATTTTTAAATTTTGGGAATTAAATTAGTTATTCATTATAATTTTAAGCACTGATTTGTTGCATGAAAAATATTAAATATGCATTTTTTATATATCCTTAATCTTAATAATTTAATCTTTCATTTTTTATAAAAAAAAATAAAAAAATCAGAGGAAGTAGTTCTTCTTTTCAGAACGACAAGCCTGCGTGGCGTTCGTGGAATTTAATAAATTTGCTGTACAATAATGACTACTTGATCCGTTGTGTCATTGTCCCCAGATTTCAATCTTCTCACGTAGCTTTTCAGACAACAGCATCACGTGAATATGAAAAGAGACGCAATAATTCTTCTCAACCTAGATTATTTTTATGATTAAAGTTAATTATAATTAATTATTTAAAATTATATAAATGTAAAAAAAAAAGAAAAAAAAGTGTATCATTATTCTTACAAAATGTGGTTGGTCCAAAATCCTAATAGTACTTTGTATTAGATGATATGATGCATATATGTGTGTGTAAAGTTTGTGTTTGATTATTGGCATTGTTGTGAATGGGATTGGGTGCGGTGGGGTGCAGGGTAGCGTGCCGAAAACAGGGAGGAATGAGGTTCACGATCAACGGGTTCCGTTACTTCAACTTGGTTTTGATCACCAACGTGGCGGGTGCAGGGGATATCGTGAGGGCGAGCGTCAAAGGTTCTAAAACAGAGTGGATGAGCATGAGTCGTAACTGGGGGCAGAATTGGCAATCAAACGCGGTTTTGATTGGTCAGTCACTGTCCTTCAGGGTCACAGGCAGTGACAGACGCACTTCCACCGCGTGGAACATTGTCCCAAGTAATTGGCAATTTGGCCAAACCTTCAGGGGGAAGAATTTCAGGGTCTAATTCCAAGTTACTATGCCATGTTTGGTTTATTTGCTTTTTTGAACCTCTTGTTCTGCTACCTTTTTTTTATGTTTTTGTTTGCTATCTATGATTTTCCTTGGAATGTGGATATGAGGGCGAAAATGGTAGTGAACCTTTTTGACTTTTGAACCTGTGTTTTTGGGAGTGAAGGATCAATTATCATGGGGCAACGTGTACATCTTGTGGTACATATGAGAGAAAATGGGACAAAGGAGTGAAATTTGAGCTGAAGTGGCTGCAAATTCATAAGCCCGCAGCAATGCATACTGCATAGTATTTATTTTTTATTCCATCATTTGAGTATTCATGTATGCCTTTTTATAATAGTAAAGCTTATTTTTTTAATGTGTAATAGTACTGTATTCATATAATTGCCTTGACACCCGTGAAGTAATTATTGATTTAGTTAATCACTAACCATTGTTATTAATTATACTCAAATGTAAAAGATATATATACTAGGACTGATTTGTCAACATATTTATTAAAAATGATTCATATATGACTTAAATATATCTTCAATATTGAGTAAACTTTAGACAATCTTATAACTTGTAATTTAGGGTCCTGTTAGTACTGCTTAACCACGACAAATATTAACAGTAACAAGGATATTATCAGTTGATTTAAAGGAGATTTCTTAAAAAAAAAATTTCAAATTGATCCCATCTTTTGAAAATAAAAACATCAATATCTACAAGTCACATTGGATCCACACTAAAAGAGCATCTACCCTTGATATAAAATATATCACGATTTCAACTCATTGAATAATTTAAAGATGGATATATCATTTCACTATATGAATATATTTAGTCTAGAGTTGTTTTACTTGGTTGCTTTAAATAATTTAAAGCAAAGTGGGCACTGTTCATATTTTTTGGACGGTTTGCTCTTACCGCAACTAGTGATTTCATAACTTAGGAATCAAGATTGTATTATGAGGACCACTTGAAGTTGGAAGCCCAGTTTTGTCCTCAGCTAGTTGGGCCTTTCACTAGATTATATTGCAAGCAATTTTATATTAAAAAACACTTATGTGTTTTTTTTTAATATACCACTACCTCCCCTGCTAAAATCAATAATTAAAACTCCTTAGTTTTCACAATCAAAAGTAAATTACCATGCAATTATTTCCCATCTCCACACCCATAAGCCTTGTTTCATTGTTTAATGATTTAAATTTTAAAGCTCCAAACTTTTATCCTAAGAAATGAACACAAAATTGGGCATATGCAGCCAGTTGATTCTAAATTTCGAAAACATTTCAAATTCCTGACAAAATAACACCATTCAGAAATTTTGAAGAAAAATAACCAAAATTGAAATCAAAACAGAGAAAATGTGGGATGGAATCAGTAGACAAGTGAGAAAGAAGCAAAACCCACCATCTGTGGATACCATCTCTACGGTTGTCTGGCCGCTGCCCAATTACAAGACACTCACAGTATTTCCAAATTCCTCAGAAATATGCAGTGACTCTAATTAGGCTTTCTATGTGCGCACCAATGTTTCAACGAGAAAACAAAACCAAACTGTTTCCTCGTACTAAACAAAACCAGTGCAAAAAACAAAACTTTGAAGATAAATTGATGAAAACAAATTCAAAAAACAATGAAGGGTCATGTGGTAAGGGCTCATATCAAGTGTAAATTTTGAAAGCTCTGTCACAGTGGGAAAAACCCAATTCAAATTGAAGTGAAGGGTACAGAAAGAGGAGGGGGAAAACAGAAAATGAGATACCCAAGCTAAACCCCTTTGGTGAAAAGGGAATGGCGGCACCATCAAGTTCTAAACTCGTTCATCGCATCGAATTAGGCTTCCCACTCGAGCCCTCTCTCTTTGTAATCACAGCCCCTTTCCGTCTCAACAAAACTGTTGAAAGCAGGAGAATATGTAACTATGCAGCAAATATATAGAACCGTACTTTAGGGTTTCACTTTTTTTAATTTTATCTTTTTATAATAATTATTGTTTTAACTTATAATTCTAAAATATATATATATATATATATATATATATATAATAACATATTTTAATAGCTTTTTAAAAGAGATTGCGTGTAATAGTCCATTAATTTATTTATTTTTATTAATAATGGGGCTACAAAGCTCAAAAATAAAGAAACAAACTAGTCAGCAAGTTTAATTCAAGAACTAAGAGAATTAAGTTTAAGAAGTGATTCTAAAGGAGGAGGGGTTTCATTAAAACAAATCAAAAACCTAGCCCAATAGTTAGCACATTGATTGGCTTTACGAAAAACATAACTAAATCTAACAAATTTAATATTTTGAAAAAAAATTCTAATTTATTGAATAATAAAAAATAAAAGATGGTTTCTAAATTGAATGTTAGTAATTAAAAATATGATCTCTTTACAATCATTTTCAATTTAAATAAGATGGATGTTCCAAAAAATGACTAGTTTGAGATTCCAAAAAATTTCTCAAAGTTCAGCTGCCAGTAGAGAGTAAGGAGAAAAGGTATTGCAAAAGCATGCTATAAAGCCACCAGTGTAATCACAGATAAAGCTTCCACATCTAACAGAACCCCAATTATGCATAACAAATCCGTCAATGTTCAACTTAAAATGCTTTTCTAGAGGAGATTGCTATCTAATTGTGCCTTGAGGTTTCTCAAAACCTATAGTAGATTGCAAACTTCCACTACAACACAAAGAAAGAAAATCAAAATTCTAGATAATTTTATGAAGTAAAGCATCATTATTTAAATGAGAGTTCTGAAAAACTGTACAATTTCTATTATGTTACAAAGTTTAAGTCACTATGTCAAACAAAATATCTCAAAAGGGTTGCAAAGAAATATTGTTAACAGATAAATTAAAAGAAAGTCAATTAAAAAGACTAAGACTAAAGAAAAGAACTCACTTAGAATTAATTCAGACCAAATCTAAGAAGCAAAATAACAATTCTTTATGACATGAATTACGACCTCATTACATCTAGTGCATAAGAAACATTTAGTCATTTTACAATTAAATCTTTCAATATTAGTTAGAAGCCTTCCACAGATAACTTTTTACAAGAAAACAATAATTTTAGGGGAGTCTATTAATTCTTTTAAAATAAATCTATATGTAAATGCATATCTTTATCTGTATAAAAAAATAATTTTTTTAATTTTTTTAAAATTTGAAGTTTATATTTAAGAATTTTGCCATAAATTTATGATTATTGACATATATTAATTATTTAATTTTAATTGAATTCTTTCAATATTATATGATAAAAATATTATTTTAAAATATACACTTATTTATTTAATTATTTAATTGTATGTATATTTATTTTATTAATAGATGGGTACCGAGTTTGCTGTAAAGAATATTCAATTTATATGTTAAGATAAGATTTAAAAGGGATGATGTAAGGAATAGATTTATGTTTATGTAAATAAAATTATAAGATAATTTATTTAATTATATTATTTAATTTAAATTAAAATATTAGTTATATTACTAAAATTTAAATTGTATTTACAAAAGGTAGCCGGTTTATTAACCCCTAGCTGAAAACCACACATCAACCTTGCCCCCGAAAAAAACACTGATATCAACTAAGGTTTAGAATCTTTTTCTTTCTAGCAAAAACATGTTCCAAACAATGACAAGGTATCTTACATTCGTTAACTACTCAACAACCTTCACCCCAACCAACTATCAGAAGAAAATTAACGTAAAATGCTGGCCAATGAATGATGAAGCACTTTTTCTTCAGCTAGCCAAACAAACTATCATACAAACTATCATCCTTACTCCATGCATGATCTATTTTCCTTTTTCTGGTTTTCCTTTGGCTCAATAGAAATTCGATTCCGTCTTCCAAGGTTGCTCTCTCTCTTTTCTTTTGGTTCCACAGTTCAGATATTACATACCTCCCACTTGGATTACATTCATTCATCTCTTTCAAAGCTGTCACCACTGCATCATACACTCCATCACCCCACGTTATTTTCAGTGTTCTCAGCTTTTCATCTTTATCATCTATTATTTCCTGAAAAAAAATAAGGCCATGTTCATTTTCATGATATATTTATTATCTTGTAAAAAATCAAGGCCATGTACATGGAATTAAAACAACGAGACAAATAAAAATGTAGGAGTAGAGATGATGCTACGTGGAATTTGCCATCAAGTGTGATTATTTTGAATGGATACCAACGGGGGTCCTCCACATTCTTTTGCCATAATGAACACAACTCCGCGGCTTCATCCTTATAATATCTTTTCATCGATCTCAAAGCTTCAAGAAAAGGCTTAATGTCTACTTCCCCCATTCTCTTTATACCAATTTTGGCACGAGAGCTTGATGTCTCTGCAATGCCCTGCAAGAGAATGGAAAGTAAATAGACCAAAAGTCAAAGAAATTTTAGAAATACTCATGTCTAGATAAACTTCTAGATAAATATTTGTTAAAGAAAAATAAAAAAATATTTTTATCACAAGTTAAAAAAAATTATGCACTTCAAATTTTTGAAAAACTATATAAATGAACTAAAAAAAAACATACAAGTGAATTTAATCCATTGTTTAACTAATTTTTGTCTCCTATCAATACTCATTGAAAAATTTATCCAAATTGAGCCTGTATTTATAATGAAAATATATAGTGTTAACATATAAGCAATCAACATTTATTATTTTTATTTTCAAAAAGAAAAACTTGGCAAAATTACTGCCCTCTAGATAATCAAACATTTTTGGGTAATATATGTCAATTATATGAAATAAAAACAGTAAATTTTTCATTTCTCATAAATTCAAACCATAAAATGAACAACAAAGAGGAATGTGTTACACGAAAATGTAAATTTATAATACCACGTGTACTTCAAATCAAAGCGACTTTTATTTCTGGCATTGTGAGAATTCCATAATAGTTTCATCAATCATTCGATCAATCAAATACTATATTCTATGATCTCAAACATATGACTAAGGGCATTATCTTCCAATGGCAGCAACATAATTATATAAAAAAAAAGAAGCTTAAAACTAGACCTGACTGAAAAAATGCTCTCCATAATTCATTTGAAGAATCACCACTCTAAAGAGTAAAGACAGAAGATGCATCGAGTTTAAAAATAAAAAGAAAATATAATTACCTGAATCAATTTTTTTCGAGCATTCTGAAGCTCATCATTGTTCGCACGTTCTTTAATGATTAGTGATAGGTTAAAATCTTCCAACTCTTGAAGGGACCCTTCCTTTTCCCATATATTCATAGGTAAAGCATCCACCGTCTTCAGAAATTCACTTTCCATGCACTTCATAACATCTAATTTCCCTTTAAGTTCCAAAATCTCCCTATTCCTAACGCGTAATCTCGCTTTATGTATCTCAATCTCCGATTCCAGCTTTTCTTTGCTTTTCAGTTGTTCTTACAACTTAAATATTTTGGCATTAAGTTGTTCCTTCTGAGCCTATATAAATTAAATAGATAATCAAATACATTTAATAATACACAATTCCTATATTGACAAGGATACTTGTCACATTTACAAAGCTTAAACACAGGTTACACGGACCCTAAAATCTTCAGTCAATTTTGAAACATTTTTATCATCATTCTGATGTTTCAGAGCACCCATCTGAAGAGAGCTAATTTGCATTACTTTCTGAAAACATGGTAAATGCCTACAGTGTTAGACAACGTTTTCAACAAGAAATAGACAAGGGAAAAGTGTAAATTCTCATAGAAGGATAAAACTTATGTGTAGTTCCTTAGATATTGTTGATTCTGTTTATTAATCAAAATTAGTTTTACTTTAATAATATACAATAACATTAAACGCAATTTTTTTTTATTAAAATTAAACTCGTAATGTTAATTAGTAAACAACACTTGAAAAACAAAACGTTTGTCCTTCATAGAAAACGATACAAGCTTCCATTGAGTTAAACATGTCCGAAGGTACTGATTATTGCTACTGACCTGTTGAATCTCCTCGGCAAAGTTCTTCTGCTGCAGATCATTTAGAGCCTTACTCTCCTCCAATTCCTTGGTGATCTTCCTGTGCTCTTTCTTTAAACATTCCATGTCATATCCCATAATAGAGTTCATGACCTTAATTTGTTGTAATTCTGAGAAGTATAAACGTTTAATTTCAACATAACAAAATATAGGAAACCTGCAAATATAAAATCTAATGATATTCTAGTGTAATCCTCCTATATGGACAACAGAATATAAGCTCAAAAATAGAAAGAATGAAGATCAAGCATTAAATCATCATTAAGAGAAGAGTCACATCGTATTACTGATTTAGTAGTTGAGTATTCTAGAAAGAATCACGGATAATCATTAAGATTATCATTCAAGATATGGTTTGAAATTTTCTTTTATATTTAAGGCTGATTTTAGTATTGTAAAGCAATGTTCTCAATAAACATTTGTAAATAAAAGGAAAAGTTTGTTACCCTTTTCGTGTTTCATCAAACAAAAGTTACAAAACTGTAGTCAGGCAATAAGTTTCTAAGCTCATGATTGTTTATAGTAATCATAATTAATGTTGCAAGCCAATCCTTAAATATTGCGGATTAGAAAACAATAATTTGAAGAAAACGAAAACTTATGTTAATGATCTCCACTATCTCGGCTTATAAATACACACACACCTTTCTGACATTCCTCATGCAGCTTATTTTTCTTCTTCATTATTTCCATAACCACGTTGACGGATTCGTTGAGTTTGCTCATACAATCAGCTTTCTCTGTATTTTTATGCTCCACATCAGTAATTTTCTGTTTCTGGATTTCAATTTTCTTCTGAAGGTTTCTCACAACCTCCTCATTACTACGCTTCGTCGTCATCTGCATATAAATCAAGGTGTCTACATAAAAACTATTTATTATTTTTTTGTTTATTGAATTTCTTTTGCCAAGTCAAACGACTTAAAAGTTAAAACCAAGTATCAAAATATTACTTCTACAATCAGCCTTAAAATGTAAGAAAAGAACAAAACACAAATAATAGCTGGTAGAATCGAAATAAACAATGAATATAGCATGGAATACCTGACAAGAGGGAAGTGTGTTGAGGTACTTCTGCAAGTTAGATGAGTACTAAGATTGATATTTGATGGTTACCCATTTTTACTTTAAACTGAAACGTTTTGTTAATACTTAAGAGTGGTTTAGTGGGGTTGGAAATGGAAGTAGTCTCATGCGTTACATTAATAACTGTCTTATTAATGGCCTCGTTGGATATCGAGTCTCGGAAACACACGTTTTCAGATTATTTTTATTAAACGTAAATATTTTTAAAAATGTTAATATAAATATTTAACACTGATAGATAATTAAATTCCATATATATAGTATTTTAATGTACTGTCAATATAAAATTTTTATGTTATTAAGTAATTAAAAAATATGATAAAACATGCTTTCAAAATTAATTATTATAAAAACTAATAGAAACAAAATTCCTGTTAATGTTTTTTTGCATGTATGAAAACTAAATTAAAAAGAAAAACAGTTACCGGTCAAATTAAAAAGAAAATGGCTAAACATTGTGTGTGTTCTTAAGAAGCGTAGTTTTGTAGTCGTTCTCTGGGAGATTAATTACTTACCTCAAGAATCTCTAATCAACATTTAGTTCATCACTGATTCTGATCAATTTGTTACTCAGCTCTAACTTTGTTATAGCTAAAATTGAACAATAATCTCCAAAAATTCAAAACCAAAACTATGTATTTGAATAATTTGTCCAGTAACCTCTAGTATTTAGTATTACTTTTAGTTATATATCAATATTAACCACAACAGAAACATTATATTTCGAGAAGTAGGTTATCAACTCAGTGTGCCACTGACATGCAACCACTTTCTTAATGAGTATATCTTAGTTTTGATGAAATCTATTTTGTTATACTTACATATTTAAGATTGCTCTTGCACTGACATGTCTAATAATAATGTTAAATCTAATGAAATGATGACCCCAAGGCAGAAAATTATGCTCAACACTTGCAATAAACATTGGTTGTCTACCTATAAATCTTGAAGTATCAATAAGGTCAAAGAGATCTTGCATGATTGGTGGAGAACGCATATGATCTTTTCATGTCCTGTAACTTTTTAAGATTGTGGCCATGCACTCATGCTCACTTAAATATCCAAATTACATTATACCTATGTTGTATTGATGTTCTATACTTATTCTACATCAAACACATACACGTAAGTATTGCCAGTCTGTGTCACATATAAATGGAAGTTTAGAATTCCCAAGATTCTGAAGACTTTGTAACTAGCCTTTCTTCAGAATCAATGCAAGATTAGCAGAGGTTTTCTTCACGTTCTTTTGCCAGCTTGAACATAGCATGTAGCTGCAAAAACTAGTATTTTGAATCTTTGATTTGAAGACACAGATGTGGCAGAAGTTGGCTTCCTGGGTACCATCTCAGATTGCTTTGCTTAAAATTGACACTGTGACTCAGTGTGCTAAAAGTAACTGAAATAACCATTTCTCTAAATTAAAGACACAAAATGCTTAAAATTGACATCCCTCATACAACTTATCTCTATTGTTCTTCAGCTCCTGAACCATGTTCTCTACAAGCCCTATAACGAGTTTGCGCACATACAAGTGTCTCACGATGTTTATGCTCCATCTCCATTAACTTGTGATTTTTTAACTCTTCTGAATGGTCTCAATAATCATTCTCTGCTTGCTCAGAGCAGCCTCCTACTTTGAGACTATGATTCAACATTTCAAATTCAAAGTGCTTAGACACACAAAAAAAAAGAAAAAAGAAAAAAAACTTACAGTCATTTTTTCTAGTTATCAAACTAAACACCCCAAGTTCAATGTTAAATGAAAAGGAATAGTGAAGAAGATTCATGATCACAAAAATTATGAAAGTTGAGAACTTTGACTAAGATGTAGCGTAAAATTGGGATGGGGAGGAAGGACGTGGAACAGATTCATGATCGCATGTGCCATTTTCCAGGGCACCAAATGTAGCTCAGAAACATGAAGAATACTACTAGTACAATTATAATTAAAGAAAAGAAAAAAAAATGATAAAAATGAACAGAAACATGGAACAAATGCAAACAGTGAAAAATGAAAGCTTTAAGATGAAGAAAAGATAATGAGTGCACCAATGCCCAAACCGAAAATTGGAACATGCAATTGTCGTTCGGCAGTTGGCACAAATGATATTAAAATTTTCAACAAATATTATGTGAAACTATATATATATATTATTAATTTGTTTATTCTTTTTTTATTATTTTTACATATTTATATTTTAAAAGAATACTTTAAAAGCGTGAAGTTATTTGAGAGAATATTATTGCATATGGAACCAAAAAAAGTATTAAACATTTTTTAATTTAATTTTCAAGTGACAAGAGTTCAGTTTCAAGTTTTGCCGAGATGGCTCATGAGTCATGACCTTAGGACTTACTTATTTTAGATTTTTTTAATTAATTATAAAAGGATTGATGTTGAAATGATATTTTTAAAAATATGAACTTTAAAATCATCCGAACTTTTTCCTAACAAACTATGACAGTTAAATACTTACACGCGGTAGGACATAATTTACAATTCTATTTTATAAACAATTCAATAGTATTATTCATTTAACAACTCTCATCTTATTAGACACATCTATCTCCTCTCTCGTATACATATACACCCAAAGGATGTGTAAGTAACATTTTCCTTTAATTTATATCAAAATATCAAATACTCAGAAACATGGTAAAAGTAAAAGCTAAGTCAGGTTTAGTGGAAAAAAATCCGTTGAGACACTCACAGGTTTAACTTATGCGAAAATAATAGGTTACCAATTATACCCGCAATGATAGATTTTTTTTATATCCACCGATGGTCTTAGCTGGATCATGATCAATAGACAGTAAAATATAATTTAACCAAATTGCTACAAGCAAAAGCTAAATCATATAGTTTATACAAGTTTAACATCAATGTCTGCTCCAACTCAGGAGTGCACAAGGGCTGTCATTATGAATGCGGTTTGATTCTCACCAAGATGCCCACAGACGCTAAATGCCAAGTGAAATTAAATAGTTTAACATTATCATAAATCACATAAACTATACACAACTAGGTTCGCAGCTCTCTCAATATGGCATGCTACCCCGCTGCGATGCATAATTCTCTCTCCCAAGGCAAACATGCTTATTCCTGTAGCCGACATCAACCTTTCGGCAGTAAAATCCATAGTTACATGACAATAATTGAAACAATTACCAAAAATCATATAAAAGGAAAGGGGGAGGGGGATGAATACTGTAAATTAACTACATAATTCAAAAGAAAAATGCAGTAACCTAAATACATTATATAGTATACAGTTACATACGAACCTTCACATTAGTCCCCTCTTGCGTTTAAGTACTTTCCATTGATTTAACAGAAATTGTGCTCCTTCTTTCAGAGTTGCTCTCCTTCCCTGTTTATAGTTCCATACTTCTGAGGTTAAGTATCGCCCACTAGGATTATATTCATTTATTTCCAATAAAGCTGCCACCACTGCGTTATATGCCCCTTCACCCATGTCATTTTTCAGCCCATTCAGCTTTTCATCATCGCCTCTAATAATTTCCTGAAATAAAAAATGCATTAAGCCAGATTATAAAGGTTAAGTGTTAGAAGCTTCACCAAATATATTAGAGAAAAATGCAATATAATTGTAAATTAAAAAATGAATAATAAAACTCGTGATGCACCAAATTGCTAAATTAGAATGATATTGTCCTAAAGAATACAACTAAAATACCAACCTCCCATTTGTTAATGACACCATCAGTTTTACATTTGAACATAGCACGTATACAATTTTTTGCAAAATATTCTATTTTATACTGTTCAGGTTTACACATTCACAAATTACTAGGATAAATAATAGATTGAACCAGGTTTGATTAGAGTGATATGCATTGAAGCAGGTAGATTTCAGGAGATCCGGGTGTTTAACAAAGACACACCTTTTCTTTCCCGTCAACCATTACAACTTTGAATGGATGCCAATCTGGGTCTTTTAAATACTCTTCCCACAATGAACAAAGTTCTGAAGCTCTCTCTTCAGCTTCCTCCTCATTATATCTTTTCTTCATAGCTTCAAGGAATGGTCTAGTGTCAAGTTCCCCCATTCTCTTCAAACGAATATTGGCATGAGATGATAACTCTTTGATGCCCTGCTAGATAACAAGGATTATAAGTAAATCTTGAAAGCAATATGGCACAGTAAAATGTCTATGACAGCTTAAACCATTGCAAAAAAAATTCAGAACATAACACCTATGATAAAAGTAATAAAAGTATACAACAATTGATCAGGGATATCCACAGATCATTGCTAGATCTCTTCTGCATAATCAAATGAAGCATTCAGGTACATTTGGAAACATAACTTACTTAAACGCTTATTCAATATTTTTTTTCATATATAAAGATTTATGTCATAAATTTAAACATAAAACTTCTTAAAATAAGCAAAGAGAGTCTATTGTGATAAGCTTTACTGAGAAACTTATCGTAATAAGCTGAAACAGAGCTTATGAGAGATACAAGTTATTTCTATGCACTCTCTAGTCTCCATAAACTCTTCTAAATGCTCCCTAACAACATTTTGAGTCATATTCAACTATTAGTTGAAACAAACTATGATATTTTAATTTTACTCAAGTCACTTTTATACCTTGCTCTAAATCATAAAAGCTAACAAAGAGTTGAACAAATACAAAAAAAATGGAATGGCCAATGCTCTATAAGAGAAATGTAAATTTATGACCATGTTGCTTCAATCAATATAGCATTTAATGGGTAATTAAAATCATTATAAGGTACATTATCAGCCAATAAATCGAGTAAAAGAACTGTAAAACTGGAACTCCTTGAGATGCTCTTCCAAATTTATTTAAAGAATCAGTAAACTGGAAAAAAAGATATATTTGAAAATATAAAACCGCACTTGCCTCAACCAATTCTTTTCGTGCTTGCTGTAACTCATCATTACTCTTGCGTTCTTTAATGATTAGTGTTTGGTTCAGTGCATCTAAATCTTGAAGAGATTGTTCTTTGTCTCTTAAATCCTTTTGTAAACCATCTACCTTCTTCAGAACTTCTGCATCTTCATCATCTTCAATGTGCTTCAATACATTTAATGATCCTTTTAATTGCTGAATCTCCAATTCCAACTTTTGTTTCAAATCCAGTTGTTTTTCTAGCTGAATGATTTTAGCATGGAGTTGTTCTTTTTGCCTCTGTAAAAATAGATATTCAAGTAGTATTAATACTGTGCTATCCTGGCACTGACAAGGACACTTTTGGTTATTAACAAAGCTAAAAGACAGGTAATACACACCTCTTGATCTTTAGCCAGTTTCATAACATTTTCATCAGCTTTCTTTTGCTCCAGAGTAGCCATCTGAAGAGAGCTATTTTTCACTGCATTCTGCAAAGACAATAAATGCCAGCAGTGTTAAACAAAGCCTCCAGCAAGCTTCTAAAGCACATTATTAGTTTTGAATTTTAAATGATTTAAAAGACACAGCAAAAACAGTTTATATAAAATTTTGATGTGTACAGTCCTTAAGCAAAATCCTTGATGGGAGTAAAAAGAACAATGGAAAAACAGAAAACCTGCTGCATGAAATTCTTTGGCATACAACACTAGATTGATCACTCTTCCCCAAATTTAATCTCATTAAATGCATGGCATTTGGCATATGACCACTCAGTTTAGCTCATAATTTTAATTATTACTTAAAAAGTTACTGTTAGGCACCAGTGTCATCCATTCTAGAGTTTCTCCCTGTGACACAAGGGACAGGATCACTTACAAACACAAAATTATCAACTACTACCTAGCATTGAATCATTAAATAGTTTAGTTTCAAAGTAAACGGACCAGCAATCCAGACAATTAGAGTTTTGGATTCATTGCCTTCAACATCATACTACTCAAATAGATACAAGTTTCATCATATCCCCAGTGTTCGCAGATATTTCCCACAAAATCAATTGAATTTTTTTTTCCAACTAATCATTTCACAATCATCAAGCCCAATGAGTAAAAATGGGAAAATGATTGATCTCGATAGCTAACTCCTTCCTTGAAATCACTAAAGCACTTAAATATCAACTATATTAATCAATCAAAACTTAAACAATAATTTCATTTCTTCAATCTTAACTTCACATGAATTTCAATCATAATATACTAGAGGAGATGCAACAAAGTAAGAAAAACACTAAACCTCCTCGATCTCTTCTGACAACTTTTTTCGTTCACTTTCATTATGTGCCTCGCGCTTTTCCAGTTCAATTTTCCGCAATTCAAGCTCGTTTTTCTGAGAATCTAGTTGTGATTTAAGTTTTTCAAGATCATTAAAAATTCTTTGGAAGTGATCCCTGGCACTTGACTGAATTTTCTTTATCTCTGAAGACAAGGAATCATAGACATAAAACAAAGTTGTTACAAAAGATCAGCAGCATCTAAAAATAATAATCAATTGTTAAAATATAAAATTGAATTCATCACAATATTCTTAAGAAATAAATGTAACAATGGTCAATGACAAATTTTAATGTGCAACTGCTACAATGATTTAAATAGTAGATGGCTACTTGGTAATTAGGCTCAATCAAAATAGATACCTTCATTATAGTCTTGAATGAGCTTATCTTTTTCCGCTACAGCAACATTAATCTTGCGTGTAGTCTCATCGCATATCACTTCCATCTCTTTTAAGTACTTGTTCTTGACCTGAATAATGTTAGTCAATTTGGAGACAAGTTTATCCTGCCTTCGTGCTTCTTCTTCCATAAGCTCAGGTATGGTTTTGACATCGCCCATCTTTCGCAGATATTCACCAATTATATTGTTCATTTTGTAGTCATCTGCTCGGGCAACCCATGCATAAAGACCAGACTTCTGCTCAGAACTAGCAAACCAATCCTTTTTCCCATGATGATCTAATTCATATGCTCTTTCAAATGCCAATGCATTATCTAAGCCTGGCCAGTTTTTATTGAATTCCACAAGAGCAGTTCCAGAATGACCCCGGAAATTCCACAGAGGACTGACTCGTACTGGATTGAAACCCCTGCTTCTGTACTCATCCCTCAGCTTGGAACCACTCTCCCCAACACTGCGTCCATCTTCTGTCCTTCTTGTGGTAATATTAACTACTATTCCAATCCAAGGCCACACAAACTGGTCATCAGAATTAACAAAAGAATCACTTTCATCTGCAGGTTTTGAATCTTTTGACGGAACATCTACAGTCATGAGATCCTTTTCCAAATATTTCACCAAAGCCAAATGGTTGGCCTTGTCTCTTGCCTTTCTCTTTTGTGAACTACTCTGACCCACCCCAGAAGCATGTTGAAGTAGTTCCTTGTACAAATAGTCCCGTTTTCTCTTTTTAGGGCAGTATGGACAAGTGAAAGTCTCATCCGAAGTTTTCACACTCTGACTTCCATTTTTCAGTTCTTCATAAGATTTGTCTTCATACTCACTAATTTCAGATTCACTTATATCAGTATCCTCATCAGAGCTGTGATCCATTACTGTTCCTCCTAGGCTTTATTATCACAATATCTGAAAGACAATTTTAGTGTTAAAACTGACCTGTTGCTTTGCAGATAAATTTCATTAAATATAAAAAAATCCAACAGAAATTTTATTATGCTCACTCCATTGAATCAAATCTTCCATTATTTGAAAAATAGGAAATTGCAGGTTCCTCCATTATAAGAAGAGAACAAGCATGAACACACACACACACACACAGCCTGGAACCAACTGTCAATAAATAAATAAGTGCAATGTAATAAAAAACGTGAAAAGCATAATAGAAAAAACCATTTAAATTAATAATTTTCCCACAGTAAAAAACGGATATATATTCAGCAACATTGAAACAATGAAGCACAAAAACTCCCAATTCCTCAGCCATGCATGCAGTACTAATCAACATACAAACACATTACTCCTTGTAAAAAATCAAAACAGCTGATAAATCAGCGTCTACAGCACCACAATCGCTACTCTCTAATTCTGCTTTTCCCTCTTCTAACTTTAACATGAGGTCCCACAAGTCAAAAAACGATCAAACCCCAATGTAGTTCAGAACAACCCATAATTAAAACATTACTGAGAATATCCGAAGGAAAAAAATAATTTTCACTAAAAATTAAGCAAAATGAAATATGCAACAGTGAAAAGTATCAGAATGGGAAAAGAAAAAACCAAAATCACCTTGCTTTAAATTAATTGCGATAAAACAACATGAAGAATGCATGCATGAGAAGAATCTAGGTGTGAGTGAAATTTTCGAAATGCAGAGAAATTATTGACGAATTGTGAGAAAATGCAGAGAGAATTTGACATACGAAAATTTGGAAGTTCTCTCAAGGTGGATCTGGTGTAGGTAGTGTGATCCAAGGGTCTACATGAGCCCAATTGCAAGAACTCGATTATTTGATTTTGGGGTTTTGACCTTCAAATCTTTTCCAAATTCAGCTACTCACTGCTTACTAGGGTTTTAGTGTTCATTGGTTCTTCTATGAGGTTTCCATTTCGAAGCTTTCACCACACACAGCATTGGTGGGTGGTTGTTGTGGAGTAAGACGATGACATGGTAGTTTCTGATTGGAAAGTGAAATGCAGAACCTTACTTGCGGGTATGAGAAATGGAAACAATGTGCAGAAAATGCGCGGAAGCATGACAATTATCCTTCCTTGCCTGTGTTCACTCCTTCACTCTTCACGAGAGAAGAATCATTTAAAATGGATTTATAAATTTCAAAAAAAAAAAAATTATGATTTTTTAAAACTGTGGAAAACTGTACAAATTTAAATATTTATAAATAAAAGAATACTTATTTATTATATTAAAAATATATTTTATGTTAAGAATCAAAATAAAATTTTACCTATCAAAGTTGAAGTTAAAATACATCGCCGTCTGTGGGGATCGAACCCACGACCACGTGGTTAAAAGCCACGCGCTCTACCTCTGAGCTAAGACGGCTTTGATGAAATTACATGGAGGTAAGAAAATTTTCTTAAAGAAATTGTAATTAATGTGCATTTCTGACTTCTATCATAAACAAAACTATGTCAACCTAGCCACTTGGACTAAATCTCAGCACTGGGAATATGGCTAGGGAAGATTGTTGCTAAACTAAACGCTAATGTTCTGGTTGAAAATTTTAAAAGAAAATTAAGAGATAAGAAAGAAAAAATCTTCTATTTAAAAGATATTTCGTTTTATTTTTAAAAACAAAAAAATCCCAGGATGTTACTTTTTATTTTAAATTTTTTTAAAAAAATAAAAAATAAGTATATTTTTCAAATATTTAAATTTTTTTTCTTTTTATTTTAAAATAAACATGCTCTTAATATTTTAAATATATTCATTTGATGATTTATATAACTAAATTAATTATTTAAAAGTTTAATTGTTCTCACAGACAGCGCTTCAAGAATTAAGTTTTTTGTTATTGGTTTGGTTGAGTTAAGGAATGAAACTCTTACCATCACTAAAAGTGGTACAATCATGTGCTTTTTCAAAGTTTATTTTATAATTTAGTCTTGTCATTGATATTCAGTATGATACATTTAGTGTCATGTTTGTAAATTTTAATCACTATTTTTCCATCTGGGAAACTAGTTGAGTCGGTTAGCATGCACAAGGCTTGTCCAATTTTAAACTTTTTTGAGTATTATCTTAAGAACTAAAACACTAGAAAGCCCTTAACTCCAATCTCTGATCCAAATATATTATATAAACTAATATTAAGGAACCAAAATATGTACAGCAACCAGACATGATTTCATTTCATGCTATACAAAGTTCCATCTCGATATTTCATCAAAACAATGAAAACTGGTGTGTAATATGTCCCATGTATTTCCTCTTCTATGTATGAAGAGGAGAAGTAGATGAACTTGGAATAGATGCACCTTATCTATTTGAAGATTTATTGCTATTTTTTCCAAGTTTGATATTGCAGCTGAGAACTTCCCACAGCACCAACTTTGTCTTTGGAATCCTGAAGTTGTTCCAATGATCTCACCACCTCATCAATGTTTGGTCTAACTTTTGTTTCTACAGATAGGCATTGAATTGCAAGGTGAGCCACTTTCATTGCTTCATGCAATGAGTATTGGCCTTCTATACGTGCATCCATAACTTGTGAGATCTTGCGTTTGCTTGTGAGGAGTGGCTTGGCCCATTCAACTAAGCTATGTTCCCCATTTGGCCTGTTTTTATCCAATGCACGTTTTCCTGACATAATTTCAAGGAGAACAACTCCAAAACTGTATATATCACTCTTTTTGGTTAGGTGCCCTTCACAAAAAAAACAAAGGCAAAATGATTAGGAATGCAATTATTGTTCATTTTTTGTTCTGTTGTTGTGTGATGTTGTAGTGATTACTGAATGAGACCTCATTTACTATAGAGAGGAGTATCAGCACAGCATAGATGTAGAGGGGAAGTTAAGAGAGTTTTTCTGGAGCTGATTTAAATTGTAGAATGTGAAGAGGTGTGTAACATTAACTTAAGGATATTGGCTAGAGAGAGATTTAGATACCTGTGGCTATATATTCAGGAGCTGCATAGCCAAAGGTGCCCAATACCCTTGTAGAGACATGGCTCTTATCATCTGTTGGTCCATTTTTTGCCAACCCAAAATCAGAGAGTTTTGCATTATAGTCCTGTCATTGACAAAAAGGAACTTTAGAAAGCCAATCTAACTAATAATCTCTATTTCTTAAGCTTGTAAGATCAATGCGTCAACTTACAGAATCAAGTAAGATATTAGAAGTTTTGAAGTCTCTAAATATGACATCTACTTCATCACTGTGAAGAAATGCCAGACCCTTGGCAGCATCGAGAGCAACCTTCATACGGATGTTCCAAGAGAGTGGTTGAAAGTAAGAAGACCCTATTTCATAAACAATATGTAGATATATGATTTCTAGGTGTTTAAGGTACTAACAAGTAAGCAAATTCAAACCATGAAGAAATGACTATAATGGAAGGAAAAATGATAACTTACTCCTAAATAAATGATTATCCAAACTACACTTGGCCACAAATTCATACACCAAAATCCTGTGGTCATCCTCTAAGCTGTAACCCACTAGTTTCACAAGATTAGGATGACGCAGCTGCCCCAGGTAATTGATTTCTGTCTATTGTACAAGGTTAATTAGTCACATCACAACAAATATCTAAAGCACCACCATCAATTTTGCTGAAGACATTAAAAAAACAAGGGTCACAAAAAAAAACATGTCTTGAAATTAACTTGGCATTTTCCTAACTTCACCAAAATTTTCGAGTTTTGAGCAATGTTCCAAAGTGTTAAAAGACCTTGCCAAGTTAAAATGACACTCACCAACCATTCACTGTGGCCTTGGTAGCCTTCTTGGTTAAGCCTCTTCACAGCAATGACCATTCCTGTCCCAGGTTTAGTAGGGGCAAGTGTCTGCTCATCAATCCAACCCTTATAAACACAACCAAATCCACCTTCACCTACCATACTATCTGGACGAAAATTTCTTGTAGCAGTTCTTAGCTCATTGAATGTGAAACTCTTCAAATTGGTGGACTGCAATATCTCACCCTCAGTCTGAGGAATTACAAGCAAAGATGAAGAGGACACCTTGCTGCTTACACCACTCAAACCATCCTCTTCTCTGCCACCATCCTTTGAATTCAAACCTGCCCATGACATGGATTCACTTCTCAGGCCAACAAATTTTATACCCATCATTTTAATAATGTTATTCCTATGACTCAGTGAATGTTTTTATTAATTGATGAAATTGATGTAAGACTCACTAAACTACAGTAGTTTCTATCTCCATTTAGTATCCAATAATAGAAAATGTGTAGAAAGAGAAAAATTCATAAACTATAAGACTTTTATCTTTTAAAAATTCGTTATTATTGATTTTTCTCTCATTCTTTCTATCTCTACTGCTACCACTAGAAAGATCACGATCGTGGGGTTCTTTGGAGAACTGCATGAATCACATATGTTAAATTTAATAATATTCAATAACTGTACCTCCTGTGCTGTAGTTTCTATAAATCCACGGGGGGATCCAAGTTCATGTGATGAAGTAGCAAAATTTTATTAACCAAAGCATACAAGATGGAAATTTGAAAACTCGAAATCAAGCAAAAAGAGTTTGGATAAAAAATAAAAAAAACCAAAGAAGAAAGAAAAGGGTAGAGAAGAGAAGAATAGAAAAACAATGATACCAACCATTACGTGGAGGGCTCTCAGCTTTGATCCTTGCAGTTGCACTAAAGAAGCAACCCATGAACACAGAGAAGCAGCTAAAAGTTGAATAATTCAATTTGGTAGAGAGGGGTTGCAAAGGGAAGGGATCGTAAGAGAAGAAAAACAAATATGAGAGTGTGAAAACAAGGAATTTTCAACATGAAAGCTAGCTGTCACACAAGGACTTATATTAACTGCTACACAACATTCAAACACACTTTTGTTTTGGGAAGTTAATTTGTTTAGAGAGAATTTTTTTGGTTTGTTGTGGGGGCCGCCACCTTGGTTTGCTGTATGGGCAAGTTGGATCAAATAGAAGACCCAGAAACCAGAAAATAAATGCAATGCATCATTTTCATTCCATGGTTAATTGCTTTGAATTTTTTCTTTCTTTTTTTCTTTGAGTCCAGCGAGGATTTCTTTAGATGAAAAATATTTTTTTTGAGTCAGAGAAATCAATCTAACCAATATAACTTTTTCTAATAAAATAAGTTTCACCTTTGTTTAAGCTTTACTAGCTCTCCAAGTTTTATATTGTGCAGAATTTTTCAAATATCTTTCGTAAAAGTATACAAATTTTGTGATGTCAACAACCAACTTTTTCTTAATAAATAGAGTTGACTACGCAAATTACACAACGCCATAATATTTTACATCAGATCATTAATAAATTATTAATATTAGATTTTTCTTAATATTTTATCTATAATTTTTCTCATGCTCTTTCTATCCAATTAGATTACGTACCTTATACTTTTTTCCATTGACTGCAACCGCACCTGCTTGTAGTCTATCTACAGAGTTACCTATCATTTTTACAATAAATGTTTATCTCATGAATAATTTATCTTATTTAATATTATTTTTTATAAGAAATAATTATAAATATTTTTAATATATTAATTATTAAATTATTATACTCTTATTTATCATAGAATTTGTGTTGATAAAATATTTATTATTTATTATATTAAATTTATTATTAGTTAATCAGATGTTTTAATTTAATTTTTAAGGTTGATTTAAAGTAATTATAATAAAATATTTATTAATTTTTTTGCATGATGTAATAAATTTTTAATTTTTTAATAAAACATTTATTTAATAATTCAAAATTGACTTTAAAGATAATATTATTAATTAATAATTTGTTAATAGTAACTTAAAATTAAGTTTAAGTAAAAAAAAAGTGAAAGGTTTTTGTTCAAAAGTAAATATTTATCATGATATAAACTAATTTAAATAAATTTTTAACTAAGAAAAATTTATTATAAAATTACTTGGATAGGTTTAAAAAACTTTAAATAAAAATACTCTCATACAATATAAATTAATTTAATTACATGCCTAAACAGTTTTATTATAAAAATAATTTTTTTTAATTTATATTGACAAATTTTATGATCAAATCAATAAAATTTCTTATACAATAAGAATTTATTAAATAAACGTTTAATTAATCTGTTATCCAAATACATTATAAAATTCAATTGTTTGTGCGACTAACAAGTAACGGTAACGCACGTTTGTTTTCTTAATTATGTAAAAGTGGAAGTAAAACAAGTTGAGACAAAATGACTTGCATAGAAAGATTTTTTTGATGACATTGTGTGCTTTTAATTAAAATAAATGCACACGGGACTATCTTTTTCATTATTTTTTTCAAAGTGTTTGAAGGTTGAAATTTCAAGTCAAGGGATCATTTATATATTGGCTGCAGTAGCTCGGCACCTAATTATAAAAGAGGTTGAAATGGATATTAAGAGAAGAAAGAAAGAAACCATTTTTAAGGCATCAAATGACAGGATCTTGTTTGGGGGACCATTATTGAGTCACTACAAAAGGCCACTGTTGATCACTCTAGGTCCTTGCTCTCAGATCGCAGTTAATCTGGCTCAACACTTCAACAGTATAGGATGAAGTTATTATCTTTATGTATCTATATGTTTATTAATTTTTTTAAAGTGTATCGAAAAGCAAATAATAAATTTTTATTAAAATGATGAGATATCACAAAATTCAATATATTAATAATATTAAATGTTACATTTTTTAAATAAAATTATATTATTTTTTAATTTTTTAACATGTGGCTTCAGACACACATAAAGAAATTTTTTATATATTTATAATTATGAATGAGTATTTACTGTGATCCATGCATACTATCTCAAAGATGGCTTACTCATGACCACAACAAAGATAAAGCGTCAAGGATGATCGTGTGAAAAATATTGTTGAAAAGGGGCCGTGAAGGATTTCTTCTTTTACCTCTTTGAAATTTGTAAACTTTCCAAGGTTAAAAACTGAAGAATTAAAGCTTTTAATTTAATGTAGAAAAAGGCCGGTACAATTGCACAGAAAAGAAACAAAAAAGTACTTAAAAAATAAAGGAACATCTCTTGCAGTAAAATTAAGTTGACTACCACTGAGCGCGAAAAGTTTTCATACTATATAACAACAGGTGTATGATACAGATTATGGACAAATTTAATAATATTATGAATCATAGATTAAAAAAAAAATCCTCAGTAACCTTATGATCATAGCTTTTATAGCTATTTTGGCTTTGTAAATATATAACTCTTTTAAAAGAAATTGCGCTATTTTACTTTTGGAACGGTCAAATGTGCCAAAATTGACACATCCGCAGTACGACCGTATCACAGGATCATTGTGTAGAATCATTGTAAAGAGAAAAAAAATACCATGGACAGTACAGGCACATGGAGTCAGACACTGCCTAACAAAATAGCAAGTACTGTGAGCCCAGTCAAATCACAATTTTCGAACCATCCATCTTTCGTGTTCTGTGTCCTTTAAACTTAAAGGACACAGAATGCAGACATTGTGCGTTTATAGTACTGCGTTCCGATTTGATCTACTGTACCATTTAAGCATTCACAATTCCAGAAAATTCTGTGTTCCTCAAATAAAATGTTATAGAAGAAGGAAATAGAGGGCGAAACATTCTTTTCTGATATCAAGCCACAAGCACTGACAAAAATGTCAACAAGTGATTCTGAGCTATTAAAGATTGAGGTTTCTGCTACTTGTCCTTGTAATCTTTTTGTTTACTTCATTTTACTTCCACTAGATTTATTTACATTTAATTTGAGATATACACGTTCATACTTGGCTTGCACAGACGTTTGTTCTTAAAGTACACATGAACTGTCAAGGATGCATGAATAAAGTAAGGAAAGTACTACAAAAAATTGAAGGTAAAGTTCAGATTTTTGTTTTTTCTCGATTTCCAATTTCTATATTCATCTCTAAGTACCATTTCATTATGTATGAAGTTCCCTTGCCATATAATGAGCAATTGAGCATACATGTTGTACTATTCACCATACGACCTGCATAAGGAAATTGTTAAAAAAAAAGAGTTGCAATAAAATGTTACACAAAATATGATGAAAGGCTAATAATAATTGAAAATTGAGCCCTGACAAACCAGTGATGCTTCAAGTTTAAAGATTATATATATTTTTTATTTTTTAAAAAGATGCAACAAATTAATGCTAAGCTAAACACACTATGTAGTAAGGAATTAAAACTATTTTGGTTGGTTTTCTGGGCACTAAAACTTTTGCTTGTTAAATAACTTTCCTTGGAGATTTTGAACTTGGAAACTGAAGAAGCAGTTCAGTGTTTTCCAATAAGTAATTATTTTGACTCTTCTCTCGTCGGTTAATTAATGGATCAGGTGTCTACAAAGTAGATATTAATGCAGAAGAGCAGAAGGTAATTGTCATGGGCAATATCAATCCATCCACTATGGTCCAGAAGTTGGCCAAATTTGGTAAGCATACAGAGATATGGAATGCCGGTTACAACGATGGTAAAGGCGAGGACAATAACCAAGCTCAATATATAACAAATGAACCCAGTGCCTCAGAGAATCAGTATATTATTCCCACCTTTGGCAAAGATCGCTGGGGACCTGAATGGTGTTTTAATCAGGACGTGGGTTTCAAAACCATGGAAAGCGAGATAAATCAACATTTTGCAACACTTTCGTTTCTGGAAAAAGTTAAGAATAGAACCAATCAAATTTTCACCCGAATCAATGACAATCCCAAGTGGGAGGAGAACATGGTACCCATGATGAGACCTGCAAGTTTTCATGAGAACAGTGGAACTAATTATTCTGCCTTAGGGGATCAAGAATGGGCACCTAACTTCCTTGGAGTGTCAACAATTAGAAAATATGGCCATCAACCATCTCATATGGCCAACATACATGGTTACTATAATGCCTGCGATCCATCAAATATGATGCAGCTTTCCTCCTATAATCATCTACCTTGGACAATTAACATCCCCATGGAAAGTACGCCAACTGATAATGATGAGATCATGAATGCATACATCCATGATCAGCACATGACAAACCAAATGCATTTGTACTAGCCTTTTAACTTTGACTCCTACTAGGGTTTAGAAATTGGCCAATAACCAATTTTTCCTACAAAGCAATCTAGCTGTATCATATGACATGAAAGCATATCAAATCAATTTCAAGCACTTTATGCTAATGTTAATAGAGCTAGACTAAATGCATCCTTTTCTGCCTTCATATCTAAACCCTACATATTCTGGCTCTTCCACAATAAGTTTCAAATATTATCACTAACCCAAAAAAAAAAAAAAGAAGAAAAAAACATAAATGTTTTCTTACAATAAAGATGAAATTCAAACTTCAAGCTAACTAAAATATACAATTAGAAAATCAATTTCATGTTTTCATATCGGGATGTAATTGGTAGATATGAAATTGTGAAGAATGTAAGGAAAGGAATGAATAGAAAATTCAGACTAATTATTCCTTATTTCAATTTTTAACTTTTACCAGACACACCAAAGTCAGGTCATATTGAAAATAGGACAGTTGGTTTTTAATAACTTTTCAATTTCTATATTTGATTGATAAATATGAAATGAATGAAGTAACTTTTCTTCTTAATTTCTTGTGACTTCTGTTAACATTCCTTAGAAAAATTAATAGTACAAGCAAATACATACATGTTCAAATCATATCACTGATTCAGCTGTACATTTCAGATTTAAGTTTGACTTGTGGGTTGCGAATATCATCCTGACTTTGGATTAATCTGATCTCTAAACTGGTTGACTGGGAATCATGTCCAGCACTTTTGTAGTCACTGAGGGTCCTGTGCAAAACTGCCTGCACATACAGTGATAAAGATATAGGTGAAACTTAAACTGCTAATTATCCATTACAAAAAGTTGGCGGTTCATTCAGCAACTGGAATGGCAAAGTTTTAAAAATGTCAAATTAAATGTCAATTACTAAGAGGAAGGAATAAATCAGTCAAATAAATTGAATGATGGAAGGCTTTTCATTACACCAAAATCAGGAGAAGAGGATAAACAGAATAAGATTAAAGGCACACATCCCGAAGATAAATACCTACCTGCAAGCTTGACACTGCAAGTTCTGCAGCAATCTCAAGGTTGTCTTGGTATTTCTGAAATTAATAAAGACAAAATATTGGATTACTGTTATGAAATTACTGGCAAGACCCTATAACTACATCCATAACTCTTAAGCAAATGCATTACATTGCTCAAACCAAGAAGAAGCGCAGTCATCAGATCTCCTGTTCCCTACAAGCATAAGCACATTATTTAAGGTTCTAGTTATTGAAAGTTTGAAACTAAACAGAATTGGATTAAAGAACTTTATTGAATAAATTTATAAATCAAGTTGTTTGTTTGAAAATTTTTCTTGAACAAGAACTATTATTTTCACTTTATCCTTTGGGCTTTGGAGAACAAGTTGGATGAACTTCTTACAGTCTAAGCATATTAAATGGATAAAAACTTAAACAGCAATTAAAGCAATATGCACTGTAGACCACTCCATTCCTCTCTATTTTTCCAAGGAGCATGTAGCTACTGGTACTGCAATGGAGATGCAATTTTTTTTTTAAAGTGAAAAAATTTTCATCATTGTATTTTACACGCTGAAAACAAGGCAAAGAAAATTGGAGCTCTACATGCTAATAAACAGTAAGACTGTGCAGCCTGGGCATATTTAGGGAAATAAATCAATACATCTTTTATCCATAGATTACAAAAGTGAGATCATCCAATAGTTCAAGCTGAAAATTCCCATGTTTGGCTCCCAAAAAACTTTGGCCATTCAACTTTTTTATTTTTTTTTATTTTTAGAAAACATTGTAAAGATTGATCTTAGTAACACCATATATAAACAAGTATTTGAGGAATATGCATACCGTAAAATAAGCCGGTATTTTTGGAATCGCAATCTTAAATTGTTTGGGAGGCTGTCCCTATTAGACAAAGATAACAGAAGTTAGGTTGTTATGAGAGCAGTGTACGAGTAAATAGAATTTAAAAAAGGGATGAGGGATGTAAAAAAGCATAGATTTAACCACTGAATTTATATAATTAGACAATGATCCAAAGACTAAGCAGTTCTTCATGGTTCAGTTATTTGACTGTGGTGGTGGTAAGACAGTATATATGAAAAGATAAACAATGATAAAAAAAAACATTTATGCTGAAAAATACAAAAAAAACTAAATGTTATTTTATTTATACAGATGTACGGAAATTAAATTTCAAAATTTGAAGACATGGACAATTGGGAAACAAATATGAATTTTCAATTTCTTTCATAAGAAAGATTTTTAAGATTGCTACAACATATCTCTAGTTTAGAATATTGTTAAATTAGTGATAGTTAATGCATTTAGTTCTTATGGTGGATTTTTTTTATTTATATAATAATTATTTCATATTTTTATTTTGTTACCAAGAATGTAATACATATATTTTACGTACAAAGAATATAATTATAACAAGCAGCATAGTGGTGTGGTGCTCACTTCCCTATGAAAGGAAAATCTTTTATACATTCCCAGAGTATTACTTCGAGCAATTTTGTAACCATCCATATTTAATTTAATAATATTTGATTTTCAATCTAATAGCCTGTATGGTTATGCAGTGACACGTATTACATTTTTACTGGAACATCCTATTACTCTCAAAGTACATATATATAAGAACTTGTCCTAGGGGAATGAATCTAATATGCATGTATGTACGTTGAGTTTTACTTCAGCACAATGTTGTAAGCTGCACTGTGTTAATGATGTGGTTTGCCCATATACTGTCATCACCATAATGTCAAACACCTCAACTGATTCACTGGTTTGGCTCTAAACTGGCAATACTCTGCTTCTTTGGTTATGAATCTTGAGGTGCTAACTGAACTATACAACAGAGCAGTTTGCCAATTTTTAGTTGAACTGCTCAGTTTGGTGTGGTTTTCAGAAAAATATGGCATTGAGAAAAGTAAATTTTACAAATCACTGTCAAGCTCAAAACATAAGCAAACATATTATTCAAGTTAACCATGTACATTTAGTAATTTTGATCTCCATTATTACTCATATAACTGAAATTAGAAATAAAAATATTACCATGAACAAATATATAATAAGCAGAATTTAATTCACCTTTTCCTTTTGATGACTGCCAATGAGAAGAAGATTCCCATCTATATTTATACTTGTAATTATGACCTGAGGAGAATATACATCAGCTAAATGATTAACAGAGCCTAAATTATTACACTTTGGACAAAATCATAAAAAAAAAGGTCATTGTAACTTGTGAAAAGGGAAGGAACACTATGAAAAGAACACTTAAAAACATACAGATTCAATTTGCATGGAATTGACATGTGTAATTTACTAATTTAGATTCAAGATTCTGTGTGAGTTCCCTGTAGGTTGTCTTTACACTAGAAGTGTGACATTTAAGGACTTAGTTTGATTGGATCCAACCCCTCTACCAGTGTTGTTTGTATGAAGTTACAATCCACAATATAGCAGAACTTTATTATCTGAATAAACAAATAGCTGATTCACAGGGATATAAAAGGAAGAAAAAAATAAGAGATCTGGTTAATAGCTCACCAAAAGAAAAAAAAAAAAAAAAAGATTATGATTAAAACCAGAAACATAATTAAAAAAAAAAAAAAAACAATTGAGCTTAAAAAAAGATTAAAGCAATCCAGAAAGCCAAGAAGTTACAGGCCATGTTGTGCCATTCAGTGAAAGAATGAACATGGTGGAAGAGGGGCTAAAGTGATTTGGTTTCATCTATCTGAAGGGCTTTATGATAATGAAGAATGAAATTTGCGTAACTGTTGCACTACTGAATATTTTAGTAGGCAAGAAGAAATAGAGTAAATACTTTATTGTCCTCCAAGGGTTATACATAACATCATATTCCGCTTACTAGCAACTTCAAATTGGTTCTATAATGGTAATCAATGTCACTGGTTTTCCTTCAACTTCGAGGACCATTTTGATGTTGCATATATCTTTGAAGCATATATGAACAGAGGACCAATGTGACATCATATCACATTTCACATATATCTTTTGAGAGAAGTTTGGACATATACTCTCAAGAATATAATTGTAGATCCAATTACTTTTTTAATACATTTACCAAATATCAGGGCTTTCCATATAATAAAAAAGGCTTTAATTAAAGTGTGAAAATTCAGAAGTATCCACTTGAGATGGATCAATCTGAATTGCTTGAGCAAAATCCTCAGCATAATTAGTTATATATACATGATTTATAATCTCTAATTAAGAAACTAGGAAAATTAAAAAAACTAGGAAATTAGGAAAACAAAACTAGTCAAATCCAAATTATTTGCAAAAAATATTTGCCCAATATATAGCCACTGAATAGGTGTTCTCCTTAAATAGGAGATACTTTTCGACAGATCCAAATCTAATTGGTGAATCTCTTCTTTAGTATTGGAGTCAAAAAATCAGAGCACATGGTTTAAAAAATCAATTTGCATAACTAGGAAAAGTATACAACATGTGTGGCCAGTTGGTCAAAACAGAAGCCATTGACTATTGAAACAACAGTAATACAGTTTCCAAACACATAGATGATAGATCAGAAGGGAGAAGGGTGTTCTTCAACATTCAACAATAGAAACAAACCTTTGAAGGCCCAGCTGCATGAAGAAATCTACAGGCCTCCCGACCATCTCCCTCAGACTGAATCCTATAAGAAGTAGGGAATTTGAATTTTTAGAAGGCAAAACAGACATATTGTGCAGATGCACAAACAGAATAAATATATAATTATCTGATAGTGATAGTGGTGAGCCTTTATTGTGTTTAATACAAGAACAACTAATCCAATTTTGAAAAAAAAAAAAAAAATTGGACTAAATGTGATGACTGATGACAGATGAAGAAAAATCAAAACAATGAGAGACTTCAAAATACCTTTGCTTGTTGAAATTATGATTTCAATAAATTGCTTCCTTCTAAATAAAAGGATAATTTTCAGGTGTGATGTTGGCTCTAAACCCAATTAGTTCCTTGAATGACAAACTATAAATATTTCTCCAAGGCACCAACAAATGCCTGTTAGTGCATGGCACAGAGCACATTGGATATTCCTAAAAGATTATTTACCTCAATATGGGTGCACCCCACACAAACAAAAATACATGCAAAACAAAAATATATACCTTTAGGTGTATGAGAAGAAACCCATGGATACCAAATTATCAACGAGGCCAACTCCCTTCTCACCCAAATTACAAAGAAAAATAGAGGAAAAAAACTTACTTTCTCTAATTCAAGCAAATCAATAGTATTGATGTCATACAGCACTACATGGACACCGAATAATTTCATTCTTTGAGTCACATTTATAACTTAATCTCAACAAAATTAATCTTTTACACCCAAAACTTAGTCAAATACATTTTGTATTCTACAGGGAAAAAGGCCAAAAAAAAAAAAAATCACATGCTATCATGTAGTAGAGAAAAGAAACCAACAATAGGGAACACGAAGAACAGAAAAAACTTAAAGCAAACATAATTGTTGTAATTACCTGAATCCTGTCAGTAGTTCTGCTTCAAACTGGTTAGGAGTCAACATTGAAGCTACAGGAACAACCTGCCAAAATGTGTATTACTCAGATGCTAACACAGTAGTAATTGCTTTTCAAATTAAAGATGGGTTACATGAAAGGGGAGTATGCTTGTATCCTCTTATAAAAATAGGAATCCGTTGATCATGCATTAAAATATAGTTTTCAATTATAGGCACAGGCATACAACAGTTCAGCCAAATAAGTTTATATTTTTTAAATGTGCTACATTGTATATGACCATATGCTATAATTATTTGCACTTGCACACCTACAGAAACATTTTTGTAGAACAGTCATACCTTCTCACGATAGACTGATACTAGCTCTTGAGGAACATACAGCTTTCCTTCATCACCCATCACTGGATCACATACTGACAAGGTAGCACATTTATATTAAATGCAGATATACACATATATTTGTTCTCTAAAAAGAATAAAAGTGAAAAACAAAAGATTGAGGTCCAACAACCAAAAAGAAATAAGATTGAAATCATATTCTCCAGGCTTCATTTTTCAACACTAAATGAAAATGATAAGAAAACTGAGTAGGCCATCGGGAACACAAACTGCAGCTGAGACTTAAAAAACTGTAGTCCATTTGGCTGTGACAGTATGCAAGTTCTCTTTTCGATTTTTCCCTTTATGTCTAAAGACTTAAAGTATGTCATACATTATTCCTTTTAGTAATATCTGAACATTCATAAAAGCTATAGACCAATATAAGATAGTCGTATGTTAAAAGTGAACCTAAAAATGATAGAGGAAAACACTGAAGATTTTATGAGGCCAGATAGGATAGCTTATCCTAACCAGAGTATTGAATAAATCCCAAGTATTTTCAACAGTCTCACCATATGTAAGATCTGGGTTGTTTGACCGAAGCTTGCTGACAACTTCCAATACAGTGTTTAGAAAAGACTCTGAACCAATATAACCTGAAAATACATGGATTGGAATAGGGAACAAAGGAAGTAGTGAAAATAGGGAACAAATTAAAAATGCAACAAACTGGCAGGTTAGTGGTCGAAGATAACCAACAATAGTACCAAGTAACCAAAAGTATATCATATATCATAAATATCATAATCAATAGATTTTTTAACAGTAAAGGAAAAATTGCACAATGCTTCAGCAATAATACATAGTAATGATTTTTAAAGAGAGAAACTGAAGTTTGTCACCAAAAATAGAAGAAAAATAATAACCTTTTAAGAATACTCATATATCTAAGAATTCTAACATTCAAAAGAATATGACACCCAAGAGACTGTTAAAAAATCATTTCATTTAGATAAATTGAAGCATTTTATCAAGAGTTACCAAAAAATTTCAAGAAATACGTCATCAAAGAAAGACAGATTTATCACATGTCATGGCAAAACTCGAATCAGCTGCCTCCTTTACCTATTTAATATATAGTTTATCAGGAAAGTTCCATTTAGTTCATAATTAAAAATACAAAGAGGGCGATATTTAAAATACCTGTTAACAAGTGAGTATAGTACAATAGCTCATTTCCTTCAAGTCCTTCAATTAGATCCCAGAGTTGTTGTCCATTCAAAACCTGACCCTTAAATGTAGGGTATCCTGCATTATAACCCTCAGCTTTATTAAACCACAATTGCCGTTTACTTTAACAAGGATACCATACCAAGCATAAACTTATTCTGATTGACAGATGGTGTCACATCATATATCAGGTCATAAGAGTTCTGAGAGGTGGAGGGCTTGTTAGGAAAAGTTTATAAGATAGCTTATGAAAATAGCTTACACCTCTTGTAAACTCTTTTTAACTTGTTTTAATAAACTTTCTGGTATGGTATAGTTCATCAAAATAAGCTGTCTTTAGCTTATCCCAATAAGTTTTATAATAAATTTATGGCATAAGTCATTATTTAAAAAAATCTTAAGCGCTTAATTAAGTTGTCTCCTAACACACCTTGAATGAACAAACAATTAGAAAACACAGCTTGCCTGTATGATTCGAAAACTGCACAGAATTAATTGGATCCACATCATAGCCCAGTAGTTGCAGAGGGAAGACAGCCGATTTGTTACCAACATAACCCTGAGAATAATAGCAAACAGCCACAACGTCAGGAATATTACTCAACCCGCTGCATGCAACTAAGAATGAAATTCAGGATTATTGCCAAATGCCAACAGCAAAACCAATAAGAAGAATCACGAAGGCAAACATCAATCTATAACTCCATACATATAAAAATACATCAACCTGAACATCTTTTCATCCCGTGCAACCATTTCCTAAAGTGTTTCAAGTATAAGAACATCTCAAAATCTTGATATGAATATTGACAACAATTTTTTTCCGGAATTTGACCAAGGTATTAGCAATATTGCAGGTTATTTTTCATTTCTACATACTACAGATGACATCTAAAATGAACATTCGATGTATTAAATAAGTAATAAAGGCTGAAATAAAAATTGAAAAAAGAAAAACCTGGACGGTGTGAGATTGAATGCTGAGAACTCGACCGGTATCTGAGGGAAGAGCGAGGGAAAGGATTGGAGGCGCCATGTATGAATTCGTCGAGTTTCTAAACCTTGAAATTGAAATAAGAAGAAAAAAAATTGGTAGAAGACGGTAAAAATCGGAAAGCGAATGCGCGTGTTCAGATAGCAGAGTTGAGAAGTTTGAGAATCAAATGAAAGGAATTCTACCAGAAAATGTGAGTTTCTCGGGAAAATCTGAAGTTGGATCGGGTCGTGAGCAACAGAGACTGTAACAGCATGGAAGAGTGTTGGATGCCAACTTCTGCGTCTGCGTCTGCGTCTGCGTCTGAATTCGTTCATATAAAATATTATGGATGACGTGACGATGATTATTTTTTATATAATTTTATTACCAAAGTGCCATCAGTCTCGTCTGGTAAATGAAAATGGGGAAAGAGATTTGCCTTTTTAGGCTTTGTTGTTCCTTTCCCTGAAAACTATTTTTTATTTAAAAAATAAAATTTTTAATGTGTATCCCTCATATATGTTAAAAAATATTCAATATATTTTTATTAAATATTTTCAATTATTACAAAAATATATTAAATACTTTTTTGGTTGTGAGATAATAAATATTCTTATTTTTAATAAAAAATTACTTTTTTAATTTTTAATATATGTTACTGAGCACACAATAAAACTTAAATGCAACAACATAAATATTTTTAGTATTGTTCCTTAATTAGAGTTTCACCTTAATCATTCGTATAATAAAAGAGCATTAAAAGTCAACTCATCAATATTAAATGTCAGTATACATTATAAAACTACAATTCTATAATTCTGATTAGAAAACATCATTAATACTTATGATATTATATTTAAATTTTGTCTTTATAAAAATTAATTAAAAATATTTTTTTACATAAAAGTAGTTTTTGAATTTTGTTTTAAATATGAGGATAATGCTAATTAATAAATGTTTTAAAAATACTGGTCAAAGAATTAAAATTATAAAAATAAATTTTAAAAAAGTATAATAAATGCACCTTTTTGTAATTTTTAATGTAATTTAACACAAATTTTTATCAAAAAAATATTTATTTTTATTTTCTTAATCAATGCTATAAAGGCATTAGTTAAAATATTTTTTAAATTTTACAATTAAAAAATTAGAATATCTCTAAGTTGGTTTGATTTTTATTTTTAATTATTAATATTTCAATGAATTATACAAATATTATTAAATTAAATATTTTATAAAAAATAAAGATATATTATATTATTATTTTTAAAAGGATCAAAGTTGAAACTTCAAATAAAATAATATACTTTTGTTTATTAAAAGAATAATAAATTTTACTTTTTTTACAATGCACCCACTTTAAATTAGTATACGGCAACATAATTAAAAATTAGAACTATTTGTTTTGTTTGTAAACTTTCATATATTTGAAAATTGTTATTGAATTACTATTTTTAAATAATTGTCACTTTAAAAGTTTCAGCTTATTTTGAATTTCTCTTATTTAAAAAAATAAAGTGTTAATTAATTTTTAAAAATGTCATTGTCTTTTAATATTTTTAAAATAAAATGAGAAAGTAATAATAATTTAAGATGATAATATAAATTTAATTTATATTCTCTTTGTAAGAATAAGAATACATAATTATATTAATATAAAAGGTAAATATTTTTTTGTCAATTAAAGTATTTAAATAAAGTTATTAATTTGAACTACTTAGTCTAATCAAATGCAAGTAACAGGTAGCAAATTTATGCAGATTGGGCTAATATATGCAGAGTTATTTATAACTCTAAAATTTATGAGATCATGTTAATAAAATTATTCCTTTATTTTGTTATTAAGTCTTATTTATATTAAAAACTTTGGTAATTTCAATTTTTAAAATTGAGTTTAAGCATTTAAAAGTAATAAAAGAAGTGTTAATAATATATTTTTTACACATTTTTTTAATATTCTCTATTATTAAATAAAATTATAAAAATTATAAAATTATAAGTCGAACTCATTAATTTAGGAACATAACCCATATAATCTTGTGATTCTCAAGAAATTTTAATTCAGAACAACAAAGAGTATTGAGAAAAATGCATTCATAAGAAAAATACAATAGAAAATATGTTATTAGATTTCACAAATGTAATAGTTTTTTTCTTTTTTTAATAAAAAATACTAGTTTGATACTATTAAACTCACTCTTTAAAGTTAAAATTTAATCAAATTCTTATATTAATTATTAAAAAATTAAACAATAACAAAAAAATATAAAAAATAATAAATACTCTTAAAATTTTATTAAAAAATATATTAAAGACGAATACAAATAGTTAAATATTCTTTTAAAAAATGTAAAAAGAAGTCAGCAAGTCTCTGAATCAGAATTACCTTAAGAGACCGGTAAGAATTGCCGATGACACAAACATTAAAACTTATCCATTGAACAAATTGAATTAAATAATGATCCATTCACACTCTATTTTAAGGTATAAAACGGGTGGAAGAATAGAAAAGTAAGAAGAGAAGAAAAAAGAAATTAATATATAATAAATGATGTGATAAAAAATAAATATAAAGACAGAAGTCCTCAATTAAAATTGAATTTGACCAAAACCCAGCACTTGAAAATGACATTTACTTAACAGGAACCATGCAATGGTATTAAACGTGGAAACTTTGCCCAAGACGAAGAAGACCTTATCATCAAGCTCCATGCCCTCCTTGGCAACCGGTATACCTTTCTCCCTCACTTAAATGGTGAATATACGAGTGATTTTATTTTAAAGGGAATTTATCTCTTTTAAGCAATTTTTTTTTAAAAAAATCACTTTTAATTTAATTTAAAATAACATATTTGTAATTGTTGATCCTTACTTATTTTAGAGGTGTTAATTTCATTTTAAACGAGTTATTTTTTTCCCTTTAGCTTTGTGTAATTGAGTAAATGTTATATACTACAAAAAAATATATTATATACTAATTAACAAAAAATGTCAAGAATTAGAATAATTTTTATTAGTATAGTTTTTATCTGATAAAAATTAAATATATTATATTAACATTTGATGTATTAATAATATATATTATTCTATACTAATAAAAGTATTTAAATGTATAATGCATCATAATGTTAACATATATAAACTCATAATGTTTATGTTAACAGTTTAACTTTTATTAAAATATTTATATTACAAGAAGTTAATATAATGTTAAATTGTTTGTAAATAATATTTTTCAATGATATCTTTTTCAAAGACTTTTTAATATTTTATAATAAAAGTATTAAATAAAAAAATTATATTTAATATCTTTTAACTATAAAAAATTGATATTTTTTAGAAAAATAATAAAAAGGATTATTAAGAAAATGTTTTTGGAAGATTTATAATTATTAAAAAATGTTAAGAAATACCTTAAAATACTGATTAAAAAATTTTAAAATATTATTAAAAATACATTTTACCATATTTTTAATAAAATAAATTGTATTAATTCATTAATTAATACGTTAAGATACTAATTAATAAGAGCAGTATTACTATTATATTTTTTTTTTGTCCTAGGTAGAAGGGGTACTGAATTGAATATTTGATTCAGTGGGATATATATATATATATATATGCTGTTGTTAGGTGGTCACTTATAGCTGGAAGGTTGCCAGGACGTACAGACAATGAGGTCAAGAACTATTGGAATTCTCACATCCGAAGAAAGTTACTTCAAATGGGAATTGATCCAAATAACCACAAGATACACCATAGTGTTCCTATTCCACATACCCATGGCCACCGTGTTTCAAATGCCATTGAACCATCATCATCTGGGTCCATGCACAAAGAACAGAGAGACCATTTCATCAAATCCTATGCTTCCACAAATGAGAGGATTTCAGACACATATAGTTGCCTTGTTGAAGAACCAACACTGGTTTCTTCAGCATCCCATTTGAATCTTGACTTAACCATTGCTTTCCCTTCACCTAAACCAGCTCTTGTGAAAGATAAGTCTAAGCCAACTTCTGTCTGCACGAACACAAGTAACAGTGATGAGGATCCCGTTCTTACCCTTCCTTTGTTTCAATGATTAAATATTAATTAGATTATTAAGGTATATATATATATATATATATATATATATGTCAAAATATATGTAGAGTCAAATACTATAATGTAAGCGGGAGTTTCATTATTTCGATTTTAATCATATGCACACTTCCTCATGCTATATATGAATATATAATCAGCGAAATACGGAAATGAATGAAGTGTTTGGCTAAAATATTTGCCACCGATTACGTTGTTCTGCTCTTGTAACTGAATTGCGGTAATTAGGGGTGTGGTTTTCGCATGAGGTCAATGATATATATGTCTAATGTGTTTCATGTATGTATAGCTTTATAATTTTGACTAGTAAAGTAGCTAGAGAACAGTATTAAGTGAATTGAAAGAGAATAAGTAGTTACTTCATCAACATGGTTACAAATGTCCTTTTCTATGAAAGCATAATAAAAAACTTAAAACTCACTTCCTCAAGCTTATTTGTGTATCCAGTTTCAGTCCTCTTTCTATAATATCCACTTGCTTTGCAACAAAGATCAACCTTTTCTAGTCAGGTGGGATTCTCTCCCTGTCCTTGATTTTTGCCTTGACATGATCAATTGTTCCTTAACTTTCAACCTCCAAGGTATTTCTGCTACATATATTGGTTAGCTATTTAATTGTAAGTTGGAATTTTATTTTATTTTTTTGGTTTGTTAGCTTTAATAGAGTTAGTTAAAAGTTGCCCTAGTTAAACTTCTATAAATACTATTACATCATTTCTTTTGTATTTTCTTGAATAATAAAATTTCATATTATGCACTTTAACTCTCTATCATTCTCTCTCTCTTCCTCCTTTTTCTTCCTTTTTCATTCGAATCAGGTCTTGATCTACACCATCTTCAAATCCTAAGACTTCCCTTTAGAAGTCTTCATTTGGATGTTGTAGTTGGCTCAAGTTCGATCATATTTAAGTTGTTTTGCGACAGAAATGAGCCTCCACGTACTGTTCTATTGGGATACCTTCTTTGTCTTAAATCTTAGCCTTGACATTGTCTATGGTGTTAGAGCTCTCCACCTCAAGGGGTCATGATCTTTCTAGTGAGGGTCTTGACAAAGTTTGCACCCCAAAGATGGAGCACACTAAGTGGAGAGTCAACTACTGCTGAATGTTGTAATCAAGCCTATGCTTCATAATATCAGTATCAAATTACATGGTGTGAAGTTCTTATATGTAATTATTAGTGGAATATTGAAGACTGATATTGGTGACGTAAATGATAAATTTATGCAAACAGTTATGAACAAAGATAAAACATTGGTATTATTTGTCGAAGTTTTCAATTTTGATTTCATAAATATTGAACACACATATATAAAATTAATTAATTTATTTTAAAGAAAGTGCTAATCTTAAAAAAAGTCAATCTATTAGCTTTTTTAAAATCACTTGCTAAATAAAATACTGTTTTGGTCCACATGATTATTTCTTGTTATATATTTACATTACATACCCATTAATTGGAGCTAGGAATAGGTGTCCTAGGAAGCCTTGACCTTTGGAGGACAGATCATATATAAACAATTTTTATTTACAACAATTTTAGAGGACAAAACTTAGTATTCATCGAACACACCAACTTGTTTGTGACCTACGGTTATAGATAAAGTTAACTTGGCAGGTAATTGGATAGCAACTTGCATGGAGATTTTCTTAAATCGCCCAATCAAATTATATTAATAATTAGTTGTCATCATATTCGAACATAGGCTTCTTGGTTTCCTATAATTCGGTAGGAATTATCTTTCAGCAATATATGTAAGAGCTGTGGAGAGCATTATAGATTGACTCTAGGCCATACCAAAGTGGGGAATTTCTGGTAGAAGTATCTTTATTCTTGTATTAGCACTCGTTGGGCATCTACCATTCAGACATTCCTGTCATAAAATAATATTTTGTTTTATTTTCTATATATATATTGCAGATACATCATTACTAGGATCTAGGTTACTTTGTAATTTACTGGGGAGAATTAAGAAAGGAGATGGTCCTTCTCAATTAGAAGAAAATGATCAAAACATTAACTTACCACTAATCTATCAAACTTGTCACCGATTTTTGTCTACAAACTGGGGGCATAGCGAAGCCCAAACTTGGTCACTTGAAATCTGGACCATATTTTAGGGCCCAACACATATGTTAACAACTGTATCAATTTCAATTGATGACTACTATTTAGACCAACATATTTTTTTATGACAAATAATATATATGATACGTTTAATATAAGAAAAGTTGTGTGTGGCCAATTAAAAAAATAAGTCCATTTTAAAGAATGAGTATTGAAATTTAATAAATAGGGAATGATTTCTAAGTTAAAATTAGGACTACTTTGCTTTTTAAATATAAACAGTTATATTCTATTTATGAAATTTAAAAAACTGAAGGAGATCTCACAGATGTACTTATTTAAATAAATATAAATCTATTATTATATTGTTGTTTATTATTATTATAATATTTTAAATTTATATTCTTATTGATTTATTTAAAGAATGAGCTTATATAGGTTTATTCATCTATTAAGAAATATACTTTTCAAAAAATTAGGTCAAATTAAAAAAAAATTAATTAAGCCTTAAAATAAATCAATATCAAGAAATAGATAATCTCAATACACTTATTTAACATAAAATCTAGCCTTATCCAGTTCACTCTCAATATATACATTAGAAAATATATATGATATTCCAGTCTCACAAAAAAATTTAAAAAAGAAAGTTAAAAGTGTGTTTAGAATGAAATTTCAACTAGTTAAATAATTGTTTTACGTAACTAGAAAGCTTGTTTAACTAAAATGATAATATTTAATAAAGTAACTAAAGTTAGTAGCTATTTTGTGTTTTTGGGAACATTGCTCCAAGTAATATTCAATCTTCTAAGCTCCTAACTAAAAGTTTTTTTTTCATTTTTTATTATTTATATTTTGTTTACATTTCTTTCACTCGTGCAAATTTAGAAACTAAATATCAATTTATAAAGAAAAATTTTACTTTTTACATATAGATGTTATTCACAATTTTATTTGTACAAAAAATTAAAAATAAATAAGTGTAATTTAATTATACTTTAAAATGTTTTGTTGAAATTATAATAAACTTGTTACAAAAAAAAAATACTATAACATTTTTTAAAATAAATTTATCTCTTGAAAATATTTAACAAAATCATAAAATCTTCCTTATAAGATTAAATTATCAAAATAGTAATATAAATTTATTTATTACAAATATTTATAACTAATGATAAATTTTGAAAATTATTATTCTAATTTATAAAATAATAAATTATTTTAATAAATTAAAATACAAACACTTATCAACTCTAAACATATAATTAAGATAGAAGTTATTCTATCTTAATACGTGGTATTGAGTTTGTTCTAATAAATGCTTTTAATGAAAGATAATGTTGTCTAGACTAAAAAATACAAATATTTATTACTATTTAATAGTATATAATTACTAAATTTTAATTTATGATATAAATATTAATCATGTCTTATCAGTTAATTTAATAGATAATTTGATTTAAACTCCTTCAATTTAATTAGTTAGCTCATGAACTTTTCAATTTTAACCATTTTCAAAAAAAAATCTACAAGCTTATCCACTTATTTGGCTAAACACACCCCTACTATCACAACTTAAAACTTTGTAAATGCAACCCCTTTTTTTATCTTCTTTCTATCAATATCTAACTATATATCGATTAATTTCCTGATGAGTAGTATCAGTGTTACGTAACCTGAGGAAGATTAATTTATTTATTTGAGGATAAGACAGTAACGTAAGAATGGGATGAATTTAATTATTTGAGGATCAGATAGGAACGTAAAGTAGCCCCTGAAACTGGACTTGGATAATTTTCTAAGTTCTGATGCAGCATTGGGCATGCAACACAAAAAGTCGTTAATAAAAGGTTGTTTTGGCGGCTCCAAAGGATGTGACATAGCATATGTATGCATTCATCATTGACTACGCTGTTTTCAATCGACCCAAATTATTAATGACAGACTCATTAAACTGAAGAAAATAATTAACTTCTTCGTTAACTTATTCAAAGTTCAAACAGCACAAAATGAACCAGCATTTTGGGAGACTACTTGGAATTGACATCCATTTATTAGCCTTTTAATTTGGTCATTTTCATCAGCGTTGGGAAAACAATTAAAAATAATGGGTTACTCATGTTTGTTTCTTACTCTTTCCTCAGTAGGTCAGAATCCACCAATGGTGGAGTTGTGATGCACGTCGTTCTTTGTTGGTGATTTGTATATATGGATCCCAAACGACAGAGGATTTTAAATTTTTTGTATTTTTTCGTATCATTTAAATTTATAATATATAATAAATTTAAAGGAGGCTAATTGAATGGTTGATTTGCTCTATGTGCTGTCTTCCAATTGATTTTAAAGGATTGTATAGTTACTTTAACCTCAGTAGCTTAGGCCAATGGCTTGTATTATGCTTTAATTGAAGGTCGAGTTACTGTTAGCTGTTTCTTTGATTTTAGCAAATTAGTAATTGACCAAGAAATATATAGAAGCCTAAGATTGTAGGTATTTGTCTAGTTACCCAAATAAGCATAAAAGAAGTAGTAATGCACGTGGAAGGATGATAAGAAAAATGTAATCCTTGTCTGTGGACCTCAAGTATTGGGAATAATAGTAAGATTTTATTGTAAAACAAAGTATTTATAATATTATTAATATAATATTTTTTAATAAAAATTATTTTTAGATATTTAAATTCAATTTTAAATATTGAAGTTAAGAAAATCATCATTAAAATATTTATAATCGTTTAGTATGTCATTGTCTTATTTATTACTTTAATGCTGTTTCATGTAATAATGTTTTTATTTTTCATAAAAGTATATTAAGAAAAAAATGACTAATATCGTTTTAAAATGACGGATAAATAAAGCTAAAAACATGAGGTTAATTAGTAGTAAAAATTGAAAATTCATTACATGCTTTAGTGGATTAACGGTAGAATATGATCTTTTTTTGGTCCAATATAATATGATAAACAAATAGTTTTGAGAAATTTATAATTTTTATATTCCTCTAGTCGGAATATTTCTAAATTCTTAATAAACATGTAAGAATGTGTCTTTTGCTTTTAAATTTTTTAGTCTAAATTGCAAGTTTAATAGGTCAAACTTAAAATTCTTTATTTTGATATAATTAAGCATATATTACTTAAATTAACAACTCATTAATATTTTAGAAATTTAAATCTATTTAAAGTTGTACCTTATGAAATATTTGATTTGATAATACTTGTTTATTTCATGCTAGGTATCATAAAATGATTGATTATATACATTCGTATATAACAAATGTAAATTCCTAATCTTCAGAATAGGATAACTTCTATTTATGCTCTCATTCTTTCGTACTTATTTTGTACTATATAACTTATAAACTTTTTATATTAATATAAAACTAATTTAAATTTTTTTGTCTATAATTACTTATTTAGTTAAAATATTATATATATATATATATATATATATATATGTGTGTGTGTGTGTGTATATATAATTTAAGGTGAGGTTTTTAATAAGTATTAAAAAAAATAAGGATAGACAGGATTAAATTAAAAAATGAAAAATGGACGAGAAATACATGGTAAAGTTTTAGATTCCCCACATATTATTCATTTCTCAGTTTAATCGGTTAAGTTGATTTGAAGGAGATTTCATTTCTTTTATTATAATTTAAATTTCTTCAATCAATGAGACCTAGTGAGGTATTTATAAGTTTATTATAAAATTCCCATTAATTAAACTATTTTATAAAAAAATTAAACTTTTGATACTTATGTTTTTCATATTATAATGAATACTTTTATCATTAATAAATAAATTTTTGTTATTAAATATTATTCTCTACTTTTTAAAATATTATATATATTTTTTATCCTAATTGAGCCAAATAAAAATACTATTATGGACAGCTAAACTTTCTTGCAAATTATTTAACACATATGTCGAGACCATATTTAAATCAAAACAACTCTTCATGAATTGATTCACTTAGTCGATAATTTTTACTTTATTTATATTCATGAACACGAATATAAGAAATGATGAGTTATTATTAATTTATATAGAGAAATGATTTCAGGAGATGGCTTTGTCCATAACCCATGTCCTTCTCCGATCTCTGCTTTCAACGTTTCACCAATTTCCTCACATGCACCTCAACTTTTGTCTTAGACTTCACCGTTAATCACTTTCCATCTATATTTGTTTATTTCTATATATTTCTCACATCCTCATTCATAACTCCAACATAAAAGGTATCTCAGAGGTTAGGTTGAGATTTGGTCTAAGCTATAAGCCTCTATATCCCTACTGAAATTTGATTGGTGCTTATTTTTCATGCTTGTTGAAGTGAGCGTAGTAGTTAGGTTTTAGTTTGTTGAAATACAGGAACTTTTCAACCTTGAAACTAGAAGTCAATGTCTCTTCGTGCTGACACTATTTTACAAACATGATTGGATTGGAGAAGTAAATCTTCATAGAGCTTTTTGTACACGAGTCTAGTATATATATAATTAGATATATAATTAGCGGTAATCAAATAATTGGAGCTTACCATGCATTTAATTCTAGAGAAAAAATATATTATTTTAACCACTAATTATTTTCTTTTGTTTTATGTGGTTTATTCATTAGACCTAGTTGCTCAGTAGAAGACTCGTTGCAACTACAGACATTATAGTTGTTGTTTGGTGAGATTACTTCAGATATGTCCCTAGACTTAGATGTCCTGAGAGGACATGGTTACCAATTAGGTCAAGGTTCAACGGTTCTCACTAATGTTCATAGCCTTATATATATATCAGCTATTTTTTTAATATACATAATCTTGTTGTTCAATTAGTTTGAAATATTCAGTTAATATGGCTAAACTAAACAAATTTTAAAAATAAAAAACTATTTATAATTAACATATCGTATAAATTTTAAATTCAAATTACTTTTTTTTTTTTCCGTTCTTTCGTATTTAAAAGGTTTCTTTTTTTTTTTTATCGAAAGAGTAAGGAATGCTAGAAAAACAAGACTAATAATGATTTGATACCATAAGTTACTTTCAAGGGTAAAGATTGCACTTTGATACGTGCTGATAGTAGACATAAAAGACAGAAACACTGTAAATTCCATATTGGAAAAATGTAAGGTGTGATGTATGAGCATAAGCGTTTTTTCTTTTTGTCTGGTAAAGAAATATCGTTCTTTGTTCAGAGAAATATCGTTTAAAACTGAGAAATAAAAAAAGGTGTAAAAAGGCCTCTTAAACGCCTTATACCTTTCAAAAGTTGCCTAACATGTTAGAAGTCATGCAACATACGTAGTTTTGAGATCCTACATGTATTTCATACGTTAAATACACTTCTTAAAAAAATGTCCCTCTTAAAATAATATACTCTTCTTCGATTGATAATCGATTGGTTTCATTGTTACATTGAAGACCAAAAGTAAAAATATCGTAGTCCTAGTGAAGATCAACGGATTTCAACAGTTTCACGTATGCTTGTGTTGATTTTTTATTTTATTTTTTTGTATTAACAACTTACACTATGCCTACGTGCGTATAATTGTACAAGTATAACAGTATAAATGGTGATATCTAAATCATCAAGAGATTATTTAATTTAGATATAAGTATTTGGTATATTCAAGGTTACCGGTTAAACAGCATTATATTAGCGATTATAACGGAGAAATGAATAAAAAAATATTGAAGTTGTTATTTTCGTAGAGATCTAGACAAATCAGATATGAAAAGAATATGAGCATAGCCCACTGTTTCTTCTTCAATTGAAGGAAAGGAGTTGGACTTGAGATTTTAAGTTCGGTTTGGCTCCACAACTCATATTTATGAGGAGTAATTTACATTTTTAGCCACCTATTTATTTAATTTGATGCTTGTAATAAAATTGACTACACGAAAAATTAATTTAACAAATAATTTCCCTTACAAAATTACCTAAGAACGAACCTGAAAGTTAGAAACTCATTATCATAAACAAATTATCAAATAATTAATTTATCACATATAATTAACTGGGTTAGTGGGTTACAAGCATTAAATTAAAATAATTTTAAAGAAATGGGTAAAATTGTCATTCTCCCTAGTCCTCATCTATAATCATCCAACAAAGATTAAACCCCACCAAACTTTACTTTGTCCCCTGTTAAATCAATGGTTTCACACTACTATTTAATACAATATATCAAGCCACTCACCGTTGTTGGTATGGAATCTCTAGCAAAATTCCACTAATTCACACACATCTCATAATTCAAATTTGCTTTTGTCAACCTCTTACTGATTACTTGCACATACCATGATGGCAATATAAATAGCAAACTCCACCACCCTTTGTCCTTGAGAGAGAGAAAATAACATCCAATCAAACAAAAAAAAAAGTTACATAGAAAAATTGAAGATGGGAAACGCCATGGGAGGGGGTAAAAAGGCAAAGGTTATGAAGATAGATGGTGAAACCATTAAGCTGAAAACTCCTGTTAGAGCAAACGACGTCGTTAAAGACTACCCTGGTCACGTTCTATTGGACTCTCACGCGGTGAAACATTTCGGGCTTCGGGCCAAGCCACTTGAACCGCACCACGAGCTCAAGCCCAAGAAAATTTACTTCTTGGTGGAGTTACCCAAGGCCCAGCCTGAACCGTTGCCGAGGAGGGTGCGATCCAGTGGTATAAGGGGCATGAACGCTAAGGATAGGCTTGATTTCTTGATGCTATCGAAGCGCTCCGTTTCGGACCTTACCATGGTTAAGCATGGGCCCGGCTCGGATCATGGTGGGCCCACGAGGGTGAAGATGAGGCTGCCCAAGGCCCAGTTAGATAGGTTGATGGAGGAGAGCCACGACGGAAGTGAGGTGGCGGACAAGATTATAAGTTTGTATATGGGGAACAATGCCACCGTGGACGGTGGCGGAACGGTTGAAACTAACGGAGGAGTTAACGATCATAAGCCACGACGGGTATGTGGTTTTTTAACTGTCGTTGATTATTTTATTGATTTTAATATTGTCAATTACATTCTCGAATCTTTGAATTTTTGTTTGAATGTTTTGGTGATCTTCTTTGCCTCTTCTTCTCAATATTCATTTAATTTAGTTAAGAAAATTGCTTGATACCGACGTGCGCTAGTTTTGTTCTGTGGACATGATTCTATCTTTGGTGACTTTGGGTAAATATCTCCATTAAATATTTGTCTAATGAGTTCTATGTATGAGAATTTGTGTTGTAAATATAATTATGTATTCTATTAAAATAAAATACAATATATAATTTTTATTAATGCTTGGTTTGATAATTTTATAGTTATTTTACCGTAAAATTGAAATTTGAGTTTAAAAAAATGAATGGAATATTATTGATTCATGGAATTTAATAAGAAAGAGAAAGGGAAATTGTTAAAATTACCTTATCAAAGTGCTCTTTTTATGTTTTTTTTTTCTTCATAAAAAAATTCTCCTTTTTTTCTTTTGGACTTCTGGTTTAGTTGTGTTTGACACATTTTTTCCTTTTAATGGAAGGAGAAACTCAAAATAAGTTACACCAAAAATTATTCATAAAACTTATCGAATTAAATTGAAAAACATTTATTAGAATCATAAGTTACTTTTACAAGTTCAAACAAATTTTGTACAAACTCTTTAAATCGCTTCCTTTGTATGTTTATTAACATTTTACAGCATTATTAAAATAATATAAATTTTATTTAATAAAATTGAGCTTCATTAACTACACAAGACATGTAACTCATTGGATGATGCAAGTTCATTTGTCTAATACTTAATTTTTTATTAAATAAAGTTGTGTAAATAACTCGTAATATGTGATATTTTAGACTGTCTCGATTCGTTATATTTTAGTAAGCATAAGTTTAAGTCAACCCTAGATCCGAAATTGCCGTTTTTAGTTGACCACCTGAAAGATGATATCAAATAAGAAAATTACCCAAAAAAAAAAAAAAAAGCAAATTTGAATGCCAAGTTTTGACATTTTCTAATTCAAGAATTAAAAAATTGGCTGCCCAAAAATTTAAAAATGAAAGAGGAAGGATCAATCTTACGAACGAAAGCATAACTGGGACAACTTTATTTATATACTTAATAATATATGGGTAGCAATCAACTTAAGTTTGCTGATGCTAATGATAAAGTTTGGGGAATAATATTATATGGCAAATTTTAACGTAAAAGCTGTGACTTATAATGTTAAAATAAATTTACGTTTGAGTGAATTTATGGCGTTTGAGGTTTTTTCTTCTCTTTTGGTCGTTATGAGGTTTCTTCTTAGGCTATCTAACATGGTAACATGCATCGCCGTATTCTTAGTTCTCATTCATATATATGGACCATATTGAAGGACCATCAACATGCAAAATATAGCGGCACAAGTCAAACGTAAGATCACATCAAACGTCGGTGCATATTTTTTAATTACATATAATAATTACTTTTATTATAATATACCTTTGATATGATTATTCACAAAATATTTTTGAAAACAAAAGCATATATGGCTCTAAATTAAAATATGATACTTTATATATTACATTTAAAAGTAAGTGTTTCTATTTTTCAATTATATAACATTGAAAATTTGTTAGTGTTCAAGTGGAGTCATAATCTTTGAGGGCAAAGTTGCTATGTCAAAACGTCAACTTTGTCGGTGTGTTGGTAACTCTACATAGAAATGTAGCATGAACACTCAATATTATAAGTATTCCTTGTTTTCTAGTTGTGGCACCTTCATAAAGCGTGTTGTTGGAGACACAACGTGTTTATGAAAACCCACTTTGACAAGAAACTTGAGTAGAATATCTCAATGACTGTCATAGTATTAGCCTATGATATGTGTAGTTTACTAGTCATTCGTTTCATTTTCCATGCAAAGGTTCGATCAAGTTGCAAAATTGTATCTCAGTTCACAAACATACTCATACTAATTTGTTAATATATAACTTACAATGCATTTAATCTTGTTTTTCAAGAAAAACTTATTATTTATTAATTTCTTAAAATTCCCTGAAGACACTGATTACCCATATCCTTAAGTTAATGTTCTTTATTGAATATGAATTTTTCAGAAACGAGTGAGCTTCAGCCCTGTAGAACAAGGAGAAATTCGTGAAGAAGCAATTCCTCAACGGTCAATTGTTTATAGCAGTCCTTCCAGATAGTAATTTATGCAGATCTAAAATTTAGCAGCACAACCACTACCATTCTATGATGGAAGCTTCTGAAGCAATTTAATTTTGAACTAAGCTCTGTAGCCTATATATTTAACTAGATAATGTCAATATATTTATACATTTGCACGGCTCGGATAAGATGCAAATGTTACTTCTAGAGGTAAATAATCTTCCTATTATTAGTTACTTACAGTCAGTGATAAACTTAAAAATTAACGTTTTCCATTTTAATATAACCCACAGAACTTAACACATTTTAACAGTTAAGAGCCTATAATGGGCATAGCCTACCTAAAAATTTCTTGCAAAGTAATATAACACCAAAAAGCAGAAGAAACATCAAACTAAACTGTATCAATAACAAGTGCGAAATATTTCAAACTTCAAATATGCAATAGTGAGTTATTCAACCTCAGCTTTAGCTTGATATGATATAGTGCCTCATCAATATAGTCTGATGCAGTCATTGGCATCACTCTTTGTCGAATAGTCAAAAGTTCAAACAAAGGCTTATTTAGACATCCTACAGTCAAACTTACTTCTAATGGCCTCCCAGAAGGCAGGAATAGAGATGTCATCAGGTACTTCCTTAAATGATGGGAGATAGTTTACATCAACAATTACATGGTCATGAGTACCTTCCTGAATTACAACATCAAAACCAAAGATGGTAAGATGAAGCTTTCTCCTAAGCCAATTTGCAGCATCTGTAACCAGCTCAAGGTCAATAGACACATTACTTCTCATACTATGATCACTGGCTCCAGAATCCTTGATGCTGTCAGAAGTGGGTAGAGATTTCAAGCTATCAAACACTAGAGGTTTGAGGTCATCACCTTTAGATAATTTCATCAAGATATCAGCATTTGGTATTGACTTCTTGACAGCATAGAAGATATTTTCACCCAACACATAAAATTTGTACAAAGTGGATGAATGATCCACATATTCCTGAATAATAGCTGGAAGAGGAACATTTAAATTCTTAAAATCACCAACTCTGAAAACAATTGCCATCTTATGTGCATCACTGACACCACAAGCAACTTTGGGTTTCACTATACATGGAAAAGACAATCTAGATTCAGCTAGTCCAGTCACAAAATCAAATTTGTCAAAATTATCAACCTTAAGAAAATTAGCCCCTCTGATCAAATATCTGCCTTCAGTGTTCAGTTCTACCAAGCCAAGTAGAACTTGTTGAATTTCCAGCCTATCCAATAAAGGATAAATGTTACTCAGAGGATCAATCACACAGAAATCCTGGTCCTGATCCAAATATCTTTGTAATGCTTGCATGTTCTGTGTAAAAGTAAGCTTATTATCTTCAATAAATAATATTTCATCAGTGGCTTTGTGGAGAACTATGTCAACATCCTTCAATTGAGATGATAGAGGTAGCTTGGATGAAAGAGGCATAAACATCAACCCATTTTGAGTAGGACACAAAGGGAATGCACCCCTCTTTGCAAAATCTTCCACACGAGAAGGCTTCATTATATAACCCACCGTGGCGGCATTGGTTCCAACTGATCTTTTATTTAAGTGGCATATGGTCAATGGCAACTCTTCTAAATTTTCAATCTGAAGCATGTTTGCGGTATCACATAAACTTTCACCTCCAACATTCAGAAGAACAATTAGCCAATTATTGCCACTTAATTTAGGCAAGAAGTCCTTCTTATTAGAAGCCAGGTAAATATTACTTCCATCATTAGTATTACTCCATCCAGGTATAACTTCACTTACAGGATTATTTAAGATAAAGCAATCAAGTGAGTACAAACTAGCAATTCTTTTCAGAATACTCACATTTTCATCCGGAAGGCTGCCACCATAAGCAATTCCTGTATGAATTCTGGACAGGAAGAGTGTTCGGATGAGAGACTCAGCTCCTGGTTGTAGTGAGGATACATTTCTGTCAACATCACCTTCAGTCAAGAGTACTGACTCATCCAATATCACCCCTTTCACTACACCCATTTGACAGTGGATGCACCACTACAAAAATTACAATCATTATTACTTTTTTCAAGTAAAAAATAAAGAAACTTGAAAGATGCGACTTAATTATCACAAACACAATATATAAAGATATGTAAATTTTAGAATCAACCTATTGAATTAGGTTGATGATGATGAACTATCAAACCATCAAAAATATAAAGAAAGAAAGAGGTCCAGAATACAAGATTTGTCAAAATTACATATTTTGTATAACCAATTGTCTAAGAATATATGTCAGAATACATATATCACAACTTTATCGGTTAAAGAATTTCCAAGGATTAAAAGAACAAATATAAGTTATTCTGCAATCTTTTTGTTGAATTAGCCACATCTCATTCAATTTCATTTTACATCAGATAATAATAAAGCATCCTACTTCCAGATAAGACTACTATAACCCAAAATTGCATCAAAACAATAAGCAACTGCTCTTGAATTATTTCTTCAGCAGGAAGGACAAATTTTGTTCCCTTTTCAAAGATGTGTCACTTCTTTATCTGTAATTCCACAGGATACAATGTGATTGAAGTAGTCCAAACTCCAAATCAGGATCAATGTTGAATGCCAGCCCATGGGAAGTAATTCCATTTGAAATTCTACAAACTTGGAACCCCAGTCTCACCAGTTTGTCCAGGGCAACCTTTCACACCATATATTACAGCCAGTTCAACGATAGTTAACTCAAGCTTTCATACATAACTTGGAGCACCAGGTCCAATGTCACAAAGCACTATAACAAGATATAAAATGGCTTGGTGGGAACCATGAAATGTAATATCACCTTCCCTATGGAGGATTAGTGAAATTCAGTTCCTGTTTGCTTTGTGAGCCATTCTGAAGCATTAATAAATAATGATCAGTTCTTCTTTTTCAACAGTATATGTAGCTGGAAGTTGGAAGGACATAATGGCATCACATCTATGATTCTATATAGCTATAAAGATTTTCAATCCAAGACCAGCATTTCCTGAATTTTTAATGCATCTCAAATAACTGATAATTCCTACTTTCTAGACCTCAAGGCTTCGCAAAATCCCCAATTCCCGGTTCAACTTGATATGATTAATTCCATAATCTGTTTCATTTACCCACTATTTATTTCTAATTACTTTGACCATATATTAGGATGCCAACCTTAAAAAAAAAAAAAAAAATCAGAAAAAGGGCAAATGTCAAGTTTCAATTTTTACAACCGATCCAACTTCTAGCTAAAAACCTCACAGATTCACTGCACAGTTTGAAACTAGGAATAAAAAAAATCGACCAAAATGAAATTTTGATTTAAAAAAAAAAACGGAACTTTGGAATAGAGCAGATACTAGAAGAAGAAAAAGCAATGTAAAGTCAAAAAATCTAAACATGCAGACAAAATTGGGAGAAGCAAAGATGAATCGGGTAAAGAAGTACCTCAGAGCTGGTACAAGGAGTTCTCTGTTACCTCTTCTAATTGGTGTCTCCAAGGTTGAGGAAAATGAGGATCAGAGGTTTAAAACTTTATTATGTGGATGTTCGGAGAAGACGAGGAAGATAGAAAAGGAGCAAAACATGTATGAACTCTTCAAAAGAAAAATGAAAGCGGCTTCATCAGAATTCAGATATCGCTCTGTGATTCAACACGAAGCAATAACTTTTAGAACGATATGACCATGTGCCTGAAATTTACAGTTTATTTAAGTAGTTATTTTAAATTAAAATATGATGATTTATATTATAAAATTTATTAAAATAAATTAAAAATAATTTATAAAATAATTAAATTTTTTAAAATAAATTCGAAGTTAAAAAAATTATTTAATATAAAAGATGTTTATCTTTTTAAATTGTTTCCTAAAAACATATTTTAATTATCTAATAAGCATGTGTGTACTCATACAAGAAGACTTTTGCAAGAAAGGAAACATTTGAAAAAGAGACATCACACATTTAATGAAGAGATGAAATATATTAAGAATTTAACCCACTCTTAAAATAAAAATCTATTTTGTAATGTTAGCAAAGAAAAAAATCTATTCTATTATAGAAGAATAAATTTGGTTAATAAATGAAAATAAGATAATTTATTAGTAGCATAATATTTTAATTAATGATCGTTTAATGATTTATTATTATATCGTTTAATAAATATTTTTCAGCCTTTTGTGATTATTAAAATAATTAAAGTCATTTAATTGTTTTTGAATACAAAATTTTATATATTTAAAATTCACATATATTCATGATATATTATTGAAATGCTTGAATTCTGTAACATTATATGCCGTTGCTTTCCATTTTCCACAGTGATTCTACACTTTTGTTCATTGGAAATTAGAAGGCGTCCCTCATTTGCTGAATCATTTATAGCACTTGTTATTGGAACACCTTCAGTTTACTTTATTGAAATTATTCCCCTCTTTATTTACTTTAATATCACTCCTTTTTATTATATTCTCTACAGTAAGTAGATTGGGAAGCAGGTGAATATTGCTTGAAATAAGATATAGAAACCCATGTTTCTTTTTTCACTAAAATATTAAATAAACAGCAATGACTTAAGAAATCACAAAGGAAAAACATAATATGATGCATAAAGAAACCTTCACCCGTTTTCATGGTAATGTATACAAATCCTGCGTATATTCATAATAATAATAATAACAACCATAACTTAGTTTATTAAGTATATACATAAAAAGCAAAGTGAACAACCTATGTGACCCAAGCATTAGTATGCAAGCATATATATATATATATATATATATATATATATATATTGTCTTAAAGGGAGTTAATAGCTATATGGGGATGGCGTTGGTGACTGAAGGATAGATGACAGTGGCAGGATGAGCCATGATTTTGCGACCCTTCATGTGGCGAAAGCAATAGACAAGAGCCCCCACCGGCCACTCAACCGCCGCCGCCGCCGCCGCCGCAAAGGCCAAGAAGCCGAGGGTTGGCCCCACCACCTTGCACCGGCAAGGGTTGCTGGTGGTGCCACATTGCACGCAAATTGGAACCCCAACTCCAACCATCTTCAACTAGAATAACAAACTGATTTGTGGATGCAAAGTTGTGATAATTTTTTGAAAGCTAATGATGTACTAGGTAACTTCGATTTTTGATCATGTTCATGTTTAAGAATTTGGTCGATTTTTATAGAACAGAGTTTGGAGGAATGGGATTTGTGTTTTGCGTGCTGTGATTGGAGGACTTGTGCTACGTGTCCGCAGGTGAAGGCATTATTGGTACACGTGTTGTTATTTGCTTGACCTATTAGACACGTGTTTTTGTGCAGGGTCCTGTGATTTTAGCCTTGACCCACCAGGGATTCTTGCATGTAATCACCATTCCTCAAATGCCAAATCCTTCTCTTTTTATTTTTTAATTTTTTAAGTAGATAGTTAAATTAATCTTTAAATAAATATAATTATATATTAAAATATAAAAATTATATGACATATTAATAAACATTATTAAATTTTATAATAATTAACTTAAAAGTTATGTTTATTGTATATTTTAATTAATTAACATTTTTATAATAATAATGCATCAGAGTTAAATTTTAATATTATGAAAATTTTATTTGAGGTTTTTAAATGTATGCTTTGTCGGTTAAATTAGTATAAAATCAAGCATAAAGATTAATTTAATAAAAAAAAATGAAAGGTCAATTTGACCAATAAAAGCATATATGTTTAAAAAATTTATATAAATTTTGTCATTGAAAACTGATATGATTGGAACTAAATCGTTGAGGAAATAATTTCACTGTTTATTTTTTCTCCCTCTTCCATTCTTTGAATCAAAATGAATAGTCTCTAATCGATACGTATCTAATTTGTATTGTTATTCAAAACATGGATTCCTTAAATATGTAGTCTAGAATTAGATCGAAACATTTTCATTAATGAATTATAAACAAATAGTGTGGGGATTGCCCCATTCACGTTTTGATAAATGAATTCGGCTCACATTATCCAATTTGTAATCCTCCATTCTTTGCGCTGGACACCACTGGATTCAATCTCCTCCTTGGGTGGAATTTTTACATTGAATGTAGGTATGTTCATGGTTGGGAGGATATCAAATGCAGAACAAGTAGTGATATAAAACAACACCTCACTTCATTCAAATTTTCTGTGTTTAGTCATAGACCTTTGGATTAATTAATTCGAGTCGAATCAAATAGACTTACTTAATGGAAGTGAAGCTCTTTTATCCATTTTTCATTTATAAAGGTTGAACTAAAATCTTTATTTATGAAAAATCAAGTTTATTGTCATTTAGACCATCAGATATACGTTACCAATGAAAGATATATTGATTACTTTATATGTTTTTAATATATTACATGTATTTTTTATTTAATATATTTTATTTATAAAATATTAAGCAACTGAAATATGCACTTGGAACTGAAATATACATCTTCATCTCTTTTTCATTCTCAGAAATCCAGGGGGAGGAAAAAGTTAGCATGTGAGCGTTTTATTATGTATTTTTTTAATGAAAATAAAGTTAAAGGAGTTTTCAAGAAACTAGAGATTTTAAATGTCAATATTGCCATTATAGAAACAAAAAGTAATAAATTTTTATATCATATGAAGTGATCATATTGCAATTCTAATAATTTATTTCATAAGCTATTTACATGCAAACTTACAAATAAAAGATTTATGTGATCCTCTGCGTTATTTATAAGCTCTCACGTTGGCCAAGTTAAACAACATATGACTTCTTAATCAATAATTAACAAGTTAAACTTAGGTCTGTTTTAAAAAATTAGTAAGTTCACTAAAAAAGAGTATATAATATATATTGATGAAAGATTAATAACATAGGTTAATATGAACTGGGAAGATTAGTCCATGATATTAACAAATTAAGAATCTAAAACTGAAAATGTGATGGCACTGAAGCACATTACATTAACCTTAAAACGTTGTAAGAAAATAAGAGAGGTTTCAGGGGGACAAAAATTGAAATCAGTAAGCCAGAAAGATGGATATGGAGCTCATTCTTCTAAATCACTCATCAATGGTGATAGACTCCATTTCCTAACTTTTTGTCGTCTTCCTCAATCACTTAAATGTTCTATATACTCTTGAATACATATATATTCACAAATAAACTAATTAATAAATAATAGCCTTTGCATGGCTGCCAAAGAACCAAGTGTAAGCAAAATAACCAATGCCCACAGCATAAAATTGAGAATCCGGTACCTCCATCTTTATTATCTGTAAAAAAAAAAGAAAGAATAAATTCTCTAAATGTTAAAGTGTTTTGTGTGTACAACAATAAGCAAATTAAAAAAACAAATAAAAAAAATACGTACGAAGATTTACATTATGGAGGGAGTTACAACTTATAAGATACATACTACTTACCATAAGCGTGTGTATTGATATAAATTTGCAATATTTTATAATGTAAAAAAGGAATAACTTCTTTGAATACATTAATAAAAAAAATTATTAAACCACTTATTGCATTTTAATTTATCACTTATAATCTCATTTCCATAATTCAAATGACACAACTTCCCCATCCATATGTAGTACTTTAAATTTGCCTGTGTTAAATAAATTTGATGCAAATGGAGACTCTAATGGTTGGCATGCATGCAACTGCGATTGGGATGGCCAAGAATAATGAAGAGGCAAAAAGTAATGGTTCATCCCATCCGAGAAAAAGGTTAGGAGTACACTTTTTTAATCCTATTCCCGGCATGTGATCCCTTTCTTAATGTGTTATCCCAAAAGGCCAAAACAGGTTTTTCTTATTTTATGGAGTCACATTTTTTTCAAAAAAATTATGCAGAAAAAATGTAAATGATTATGTATAAAAATTGAAACCACAAATTTCAATTGATGAAAGAAACTATGATGACTCCAAAATTATGCCATTTGTATATAGTTTTAACTTGTTGCATGAAAGATTTACATTGCCTTAGAAGAAATTGCTATCACATAATGAGAAACAAATAAACACAACCTTTTGTTTCGTCTCTGTTTCTCTACGTTACAAAATAGTACGTGACAAATGTTTACTAAAGGCTTTAACAGCTTGTCAATGATTCAAAAAAACAGAAGTTTTATACGAAAAGTAAATCTTGTAAAGTTTTTGATGTATTAAATATTGTTTTTTATTAAATAATTTCTATTTTAATTGTTCGACGCGTGTCTTAAAGTACTCAACAGTGAAAAACATAAGTAAATAACGGCCAAGGAACTCAAAAGTGCTTAGATGAAAATTGAGCCTTCCTAAAGGTTAATCAGTCTCACAAAAAGGTGGAGAGAAAAAATTAAGACTAAAAGATACTTCTATGGCAAGTGCAAGCTACATTAAATGATATTCCAATAATGGATCACATAAGAGGAAGAATAGTGACAGCTTCCCACTTTATGCAAAGTGAAGGAGGCATTCTATTCTATTCTATTCTATTCTGGAGCAGCAAAAGAAGTTTAATTAACAATCAACACTCCTATATGCTTGCAATTGAATGTAATTTCTCCTCTTATACTTTTCATTTTAACAAAGAATAAAGTATATGATTTGGACACGTAAACTAAACAAAAATATGATTTGAGCCTCATGTTAAGATTTCCTTCGAAACTAAACTAAAATTAAATGAGTGTAATAACTAATAAATTAGATTACATTTGCTTTCTTGTTACGTTCTAAAATAAAGAATAATCATTTATGGGAGATCAAGTCTTCGTTCATTTATTCTCTCTCTTATCTGTAATATATAACAACAATGATTGTGGTTAAGATTAAATACTAAATTATAAATTTATGTTGATGGCAATGATGGGCAATGGTATAGTAGATTTTTTTTTCTTTTATTTTTCCTGGAACTTTCACTACACAAGCTTCATAAGAATATTTTTTTTATTTGCTTGATGACCATATACCTCATGCAATAGCCATGAAAGTTATAAAGAGCACAATGGATGGAACAATGATGCAATTGATGTTTGAATATGATCACCTTACCTTATGCAAAAGGCAAATATTCTTATGCACCATGACTTTTATAGGGAATAAAGAACTCAATATTCCCTTTGACAGAGGGTATTTAGTTGTACAAAAAAATTAACCCTTCTCAAAAAATGAGTTTTTCTCACTAAACTCTACACAAAACTTATACATGATTGACCATTCTCATTTCTCAACCCTCAAATTGAAAGAGTAGACACAAGGTCCCCTACATTTACAACTACCACATGCAACTCGCTATCAACAGTGTTCAAGCACACATCACTAGTGGAACTAACTAAACCAAGTTTGCCTTACCACTCAATCTCATACTATATGCAATTTCTAAAATGACCTAAGTTACCTAATGCTAATGAATGACCTTTGCTTCATCACATCACTCGTGAACTCAAGTTGAGGGAAGAACATTAGCAGCCCCACATCCTTTTCTCTCTCTCTCTCTCTCTCTCTCATACACACACACATTTTTATACCTTGACTTTAAAGGAGTAAATTCCAAGTCCCTACTACTCAGAGAATGGCTTCTCCAACACAGAGTTGGGGGGCTCAAAAGCCTACAATAGTGTTGTTCTTTATGTGCATTTTATTTTCATATTCAGTTGAAGAAGCCATAACATCTTCGAAGAAGTTAGACCAACCAGTGGTTGCTCCCCCAGTAGACACTGAAATCAAGTGTGGATCGTGTCCTTGTGGAAACACATGTGGTGAGCAACTTCCCCCACCTCTACCACCTCCTTCTCCTCCTCCTCCTCCTCCTTCACCATCACCACCGCCGCCTCCGCCACCATCACCTCCACCTCCCAAGTATACTCCTTGTCCACAAAATTGCAACCCCTTGTTGCCAGCATCACCACCACCTCCAAGATTCATATATGTGCCTGTGCCAGGGGATGTACCTAAACCATATACATGGGTATATTATTACTCCGGTGCTGAAAACAAAGCTGTGGAGTTGCTTGTTTTGGCTGGTTTGGAAGCATTCTCAATGGCAGTGCTATTTTGGATGACATCGTGAAGCTAAAGCTAAACTTTTACATATAAGTTTAGTCTAAATGTTTGATTCTCTTCCTTATTCTTCTTCAGATTTTTTTTCTATATTTATTTTAATTTCCATGCACTTATTATGTCTTTCCCGGGTCTGAATCACAGGAAAATTGATTGATATGTGATGCACAATAATTCAAATTAACGTTAGCGGCAAAATTTTTGCTTATATTGACGTGTGTATTCTTTTCTGTCGATGATTTAGTTCAGAGAGGTTCACCTGCAGGTTGCTATAACACGCATGTAAGTATCTAAAATAAAATTCAGTAGCGTGATAAAAGCACACTATATAACACACTTTTAGTCTTCAATGAAATTTGTCAAAAACTATGAAAGCATGAGCAAGACTTTTTAATTGAGAGTAGAATCATACACCTTTAATAATTTTTTATAAATTTTATCCAACAATAAAAATATGTTTAAAAGAATATGTTATTAACATTTGTTTAAAATTTAAATCCTTTAAACACGAGGTTATTGTGTACTTGTCGTTTATAAACCATGTGTCTTAATGTGCACCAGAATTTAAAAAAAGAAAAGAAAACCATGTGTTTTGACGTGGCAAAAGATTAAATTAACTTAACAGTCCCCGTTTTGAACCAAGTCAACAAAATTGACCGACAAGGAAGCAAACAATTGTAATAGTCTCTTGGTTTGGTTACTTCAGTTCATTTACGTGTGTGAAAATGTGAGCGATGGCCAAAAGAGTAGATGCTAAATCTGATTTTCAACCTTCCTTTCTTTCTTTCCATTTTTCCCTGTTCTTTATTTCGCACATTCTTTCGGTGAGAGATTAATTTTAAAAGGGAATGATAATTTTATAACAGTAAAATAAGTTTAATACGGTGCTTTAACTTAATGGACAAACCTTTTGGGTTATAGCATCATTTCTTTTGGGGCTTTACCTGGCAAGTCGAGTAAATCCCCATGAGTAATAACTTTCTAAAAAAAATAATATTTATTAATTTAAGTGTTAAATTTAAAATTACTTAAAAATAAAATAAATTTACAAAATTTTACATAATTCAAAAATTAATTAGTTGTACAACCTTTAATTTATTTTAAAATATGATATATTATTCTAAACATAAATAAATGGTTATTGTTGAATTACATATTATTTGTTTAGATTGTATAAAATTGTGTATAATCATTATGATAATATCACATGAATCAATAACTAAATCAGTAATTTTTTATAAAAATATTGAATATATCATTTTATCTAGTTGAACATTTAATATATCATTTGATTACGTGTGTGTGAAAAAAGCAGGAAGCAAAAGAAAATAGAAGCATGTGTTGTTTTCTTTAGTGAATTGACACTAAATGATCTAACTGGGCTACTTATTAACATGGTCACGAAGTGGCGAGAAATTCAAGGGAAGAGGGTTGATAGAATCTTCACACGCCAAAGAAAAGTTCTTTCTGCTGTTAATATATAAAAAAACTAAATATTTAATTGCAATTTTTTCCTATTATCCATCCAAGTATTGCAGTATCCAATATAATTAACCTACAGGTTATATGAAGAGGTACACAATCTAAATAAATCATTGTCAGCCTGAATGGAATGCCTCGTAACTTAACAGTCATGGCAATGCGATAGAATATCTATGGACAACGAACATCGGCAGCAAGGCAGCACTGCTAAATCATAATTCTGAACTTGGAAGATGCCTTCCACGAGATTTTTTGTGCTCCAGGGGGGCTGCATCCATAGGAATATGTAAGAACATACTCTGCTCATTCATACAGTACTGTGCTTTAATGTCTTGATTATATTACGATGCCACATTGCAGAGTCTGGATCAAATCTCAATTCCCATGTAGGCCAGTAGTGCAAATCTTGCTTCAATGTTAGGACTCGTGGCTTCCCATTTAGGTGAATTGTCCTTACACGAACAAACTCTCCATGCTCTAGTTCCTGCCAATTATTGAACAAACATTCAACAAGTAATTATAATACATATATAATTTACCAAGAAAAACAAGCTTTCTAGTCCTAGATACAAATGTCCAGCCAAAAATCATGATGCAAAGTTACCAAACAGTACTATAAGATTCTGACAAAAATTACAATATTCTTCATGAAATATCCAGATTTCCCAGCCGTGAAAAAGCAATTGCTTGCAGCAGAAACATCACAGGTTTGCAAATTCCATAAATGTTTCATGTTAATAGTTAAAGGAAAATAGACTTCTTCATATTCCATGAAACATGTACCGTAGGTGTTCTACATGTACACATCCCTTGCATTGTAGTGTAATTCAAGATCACTATAGACAACATTTATATGTAAGCTCCAACAAAGAAGAGGAGGGAGGTAACAGCATATAAGTGCAAGCTGCATCCGTCCATAGCTAATTCTGTACCTTCGTCACGTCAACGAAAGCATCTAGATTTGGAGTTGGTTTTCCGTTAATTTCAACTATCCACTGAAGAGCATATAGACCGTATCTATGTACAGGACTCCCATGACACCACCTGTGAATTTGACAAATTTTGTAAGCAGAAGCTTAGTCATAACAAACACACAATCCAAGAGCAGGTGCAAGTTCAACGAGACACAATACAGTATGTCCACATAAGAGTATTAAAAAATAGTAAGGAACAATGAAAACGGATGAAATTATTTATTTATTTATTTATAAAATATAGTAGTTTTAAATGAAAGGAAAAATTGAGTCTGCGTTCCAAAAGATTAGACTGAGACAAAAACAAAAAATTATCAGACCTCGAAGTAATGTATGTGGATGAGCTGAATGAAATAATGCAGACGTATCAAGATAACTAGACAAGTGCTCAATTTCTATAATTAAACAGGTATATTGGTGTGGACAACTATGAGTGGGACTGTTGAGTAAATGTCATATTATTATTACGATTTAGAAAATACATTTAACAATCTAGACCAAGATCAAAGATTCAAAGGCCATAAAAAATGAAGCTGGCATGACATGTGTTTGCAAACACCTAAGCGATCTTGCTCATTACTACAATAGCCCCCCATACAATTTTCCTTATAATAATCTGACCATGCCGCTATCCATTAAGCAGCCACTTTTTTACCCCTATACAAAGTTTAAAATTTGCAGGCACAAAGTTAAAGTCATACCTTGCAACATATACACCATGACCTTCTTCAGGAAGAAATCCAAGAGCACGTACTGCTGGATGTGGATCTTGAACAATACAACCACACCAATTAATTGCACGAGTAGTACCATTACCATCCCTAACATCTGTTCCCACAACAAGCTCAACTTCTTGTCCCTGACAGCCATGCAAATCAATCATTGAGGCATAATTCACATGCCAAATAAAAACAAAAGTTTCAACTGGCCGGCTCCACAAACTCAATCAAAAGATAAAAACAAAATAACTTTAATCAGGGTGCAAATATTCTCGTGTACCTGCCGGAAAATAGTCATGTGAAGCTTCCCGTCACTGGCGCAAGATTTGTCTAACGCTTGGCATGCATTTTCAATGTCATGGAAACATGTGACTGGTTCTTTATTGATAGCTAAAACCATGTCCCCTTGTTCTAAAAGATTCTCAGCATTTGATCCAGCCAAACAACCCTTTACACGCAAAACTTGGCGTCTTACTGGATCTTTCTTAACAAGAGCCTACAATAAGTGTGACCAAAAACCATTAAATACAAAATTATGATGATGGTAATATCAAAGCTAGTTCTTCCAAGGAGCTAAAGAAGATAAGGGAATATGATAAGTAATCAACATATAAACAAGAGACAACATAAAACCATGTAATTGCTTTTTCTCTCAAATTCCAAGGGACTTTTTATCGAAGGAAACATTTCTTCCTGCATTCAAATGCCCCCTTGCAATGTTCACACAACATAAACAAACAGATGGGCCAATCAGAGCCCATAAGTTTCTCCTACCTGATCTTATGATTGCTAATATCTTATGAAGTACAAGAAGGGCTAAACTAGAACCTTAAATCTGGTTCTTAAGCAGAAAGATTAAAATCTAAAATGGTAAATTCTTCCATGAACAGATCATCATAAATATGTAAGGCTGAGTTTTAATTGCTGAAGTGAAAAATAATACAACATATTACATACATAAGGAAAGAAAATAGATATCCTACAGGTAAGAACACGAACCATAAAAGGAATATATCCATACCTGAATCCAATCATCACTTAATCCAAAACTCCGAGCTTTTGAAAGCAATGTTGGATAAAGTTCAACCTCTAATATTCTGACAAGTGGCATAGGCCTTTTGACACCATTTATGAGAAGAGTTGGCCCATTTGCACCAGATACAATCTTGTCAAGGACCTGACTTATTGCATAAATCGGAATACCCCTCACAAATTGATGATCTTCTGATGTACTGCAACCAAATTTCAGCTGAAACAAAGCATTTCAGCATCCACATGCATAAATAATAAATAAAAAGTACCCCACAATTCACAGGGTTAATCACATAAACCCCCCCCCCCTTTTTTCATTCCATAAGAAATGAAAATAAAACGAATTAAAATAAGTTAAATGCCATGGCCCACCCTAGGCCACAAACTGTGCATACGCTAGTTAACCTGACCTGCCAGGAAAGCCTGTAACTGAAAAGTTTAAGAAAAAGAAAGCAACAATATTATACGAGTCCCATATTTCAAAGAAATTTCTATCAAAACTTTGGCAAAGTTTTTCCCATATTTATTTTTTCAATTATAAATGAAGAGGAATGATGGCATATAGACTTCAAGGACCAAATTACCCACCCTAGGCCTTCCTTAATTAATATTAGACTTTTAAATGAAAATGAATAATGGCATTATAGACTTCAAGGACCAACCCACCATCAGGTAGCCTTTTGAAGTTCGAGTAAAAATAGCCTTCTTTCGTCTCTTTCCAGTTTTCGTCTTTCTTCTCTTGTCCTTCTTCTACGAGGACAAAACTATTTGAAGTCAGGCTTTTATTATATTAAATAAATTAA